GAGAGAGAGAGAGAAAGAGAGAGAGAGAGAGAACACATCTCTTATGTGAGTACACTTTGTATGTGAAACACACCTATATTCTAATATGTTAAGGTAGATGTTCTGAAAATAAACTAAACTCATCATCTTCAACCTAACATTCTCTCTCCTCTCCCCAACACCCACCACTGCCACTGTCTCATGTCTCACGGCTTCACCATTGCCGCCGCGCCACCACTCTCTCTCCTATCCCCACGTTTGTGATAAAAAAAATGTTAAAGTTGATGTTTCAAAATTAAACTCAATCTACTATCTTCAACCTCAACATTCTCTCTCCTCTCCTCTCCTCACCACCACTATCCAGTCTCTCCTCCATTACCACCATCACATGTTTATAGCCTTTTTGCCGCCACCTCTACCACCAACACTCTTTCTCTTCTTGCTGCCATCATGGCCACCCACTCTCACTCCTCTCCCACCACAACCACCACCACCGCATGATCAAGAATTTGTGTGTATTGTATCAACTTTTGCACAATTGTAATCAAAAATTCAAGTTTTGCAGCTTAATCTTAGGTAAACCAAGCTTAATTGATAGTTTAATATGTGAAATCAATTTTTTTTTTCATCCAAATAAATCAAGTTGGGCAACTATACATAGTTGAAATTTATTTCAAGGAACCTTTTTTGAATTTAAGAAACAAAACAACAATTAACTTGTTTTATATTACATTGGAAATCAAGAATAAACTGATTTCGAATCAATTTGTTGTAAAAATCGAATTTCTATTCGTGTTCTATAATCACATCTTATGGTCTAAAAAATTTAAGTATGTTCTAAAAAATGTTACATATGTTCTAAAATATGCTATATATGTTCTAAAAAATATTGCATATGTTCAAATTTTGTTTTTTTGAGTTCAATGTCTTAAAATTTGAATATCACGCTCTAAATAAAAGTATATTTTGAAAATCTAAATTCATTTGTCTAACAAATATTACATATATTAAGAATCATTGAGTCTAGGTTCTAAAGTTGCATATTGTTTTAAAAAGCTATGCTACATTAAGTATGATGTTCTAAAAGCAGGCCCGACCTGAGGGTAGGCCGTGGGTGCGATCACCTACGACCCACGCCAAAAGGGGGCCCAAAATTAAAAAAAATAAAACAATTTGTAAATACTTTAGCTTATATGGGCTTTGTTTGAAAAGTCTTTGCGTGTAATTTGCCTAGCAAAACCATACAAAACTAAGCTAAAGATAGTTACTCCCTCCGTTTCATAATATTAGTCTCATATGGAATCAATCACATAAAATAAGAAAACAAATTTATTTGGAATCTAACATTAAAATATAACAGATTTCATAATTAGTTTACCTTATTTAACTTTTTTTATTTTTTCATTAGGAAAGCACAAGTCATAATTGCATAATTTAAGGTAAAAATTTCCCTACTTAGAGTCATGTTATCAATCCACAATCAATTAAAGTAAAAAAAAAAAAAATCAAGTCATAAATGAAATATATTCAAATATGGGTAGAACTTTTTAAAATGCCCAAAATAGTATACGGGACTAACATTATGAAACGGAGGGAGTATTAATTACTCTACATATTTAGCAATTGACATTAATTACTTAGCTGTCAAATCAATCAATTAGGTGGAGTTTTCAATGTTTTTTCACCTTTTCATCTCCTTATTCTTCAATTTCCATGAATAATAGCTCCCAAAATACAAAATTTTCCAATTACTCCACTTCACATATCCTTCAATTACCGAAATTCACCCCCTTTAATTTTGGCTAATTAATATTATGGCAACCGTTATGATATTGAACAAGATAATTAGCAGCAAAAATAGTTTATCTATCACCAAATATTCTACTCTGATCTTCTTATTATCGGTTGCTTCCAATGAATTTCATGGCTTCAGCGACTTGTTAGGATTTATTAGGAGCAAATTTATTTTTGATATTTTCGCAAAGTTTTTATTGTGGATTAAGACTACTTCTTTAAATAAAAACATTATTTTTGTTTGTCTTTTATTTACATTTATTGCAAAAAAAATTTTTTTTGGTCATGTAAGGGACCCTTTTCTTACATCATGCCTAGGGTTCATGCATTATTAGAAACGAGGATGTCTAAAAGATGTTGCGTATGTTCTAAAAAGTTCTTCTAATGTTCTAAATTTTGAAGTGTTCTCACATAAGTATAGTGTTCTCACATATATAGGTGTTCTCACCAGATCCCTCCCCTGTATATATATACATCCATAAAATATGAAAGCAATTATAATTCATATATTTTCTCTTACTTCATATTTGTTTCTTCTCTTTTTATACCACCTTGTATGCTTTTCACAATCAACACTACCTCAATTCCTCTTTCATAGTTATACCCATCATATTCCACTATTAATCCTAACTAGATTGTATCCATGTTAATGCACGGTGTATAAGATGGGGAAGTTATTAGAAAAAAAAATGAACTGGAAGTTATTTAATTGGATGTTATAACAACAACACATTTAAAAATAAAAAATTAAAAAAAAAAAAAAAAAAAAAAAAAAAAAAAAAAAAAAAAACTCAAATGCATGAGATTTGAGAATTTGGCTTTTGAAAGGTTGTGGTTAAATAATCACTCTATAATTATATAAATGATTTACTTAATTGTTGAGGAGCAATTTATGAATTATGTCTACAATAAAAGAGAGATTAGTGACCGAAACCAAAAGAATAGTGATTTTCAATTGTTTATTTTTTTTTTATTACTATTACTATTTCTTTTTTTTTTAAAAAAAAAAAATTCAATGGTACTCTTAAGCTTTTTATTTTTCTCAATGATAAAATCAAAAAATCAAATTCTATTTGGAAATCACCTATTTGTGTTACTAATTAAATGGTGACATTAATGAGATTTGTTGGACTTAATTATTTTGATGATGACACAACCTCACTTGCTTACATACTAATAAGAGCTTGATTGTTTAAGTGTGTGGTCAGATGCAATGACTAGGAGAATTAAATGTCATGCAAAGCTACCATGAGGAACAGGAAAGCAAGAAACAGAGCTATCCATAAAGAAGAGCTCCTTTACAAAAACTCGTGCTTCAGAAATGAAGACTTGAGAAGAGAAGGTTCCCCTCATGGAACAAAAGCTTAAGAGAAGAAGCCTCACCAGAGAAGAGAAGTTCCTTCCAAGGAACAGAAGCCTCGGAGTAGAAGCTTCATCAGAGAAACATGAAGACTAAATATATTTTTATATTTTAGGATTTATGTAAGTATAAGAAATTAGTTACACTCGAAAAAGCTGTGTGGAATTGGTCTAAAAAGATAAAATTGTGCATGCTAGTTTTTAGGAAAACTGTTAAGTTTTAAACGAATATCTTTTTCTTAACTAAAAAGATTTTATTTTATTTCTAATTTTCGAAAATATCTTTTGCAAATAAAATCTTCCATGATCTCTAAAAACTTGCGGCCTACTCCCCATGATTTTCTTCAAGTCATGGTCTTGCACATTGAGGAGTTCATGTTTTCTTAATTTTAGGAACATGATCTTCTTAGTGGGTTGGAGTAGTGGCGTAATGGATTTGCTGCACAAAAAAGTTTTTCCTAAACGAATTTTGGTCTATAAATAGCTGTTGATTTCAGATGAAAAAACTCACCCTTGCTCACATAAGTTTTCTAGTTTTTAATTCGAGTCAAGTGTCAATTCCACATAAGTAATACAGAGTGTTCTTAATGTTCTTATACTAGAGTTTATTTTTCTTTCGAGTTGTAATTTGGGGAATGGGAAAGTTTGAGTAAACTTCTGTGTATGAGAAAGAGAAGAGAGAAAGAGAAGAGAAGAGAGAAAGAGAAGAGAAGAGTGACAAGTTGGGTGACTTCTTCCTCGAGGTTCAAGTTCGTTGAGGAGCTTGAAGTTTGAGTCTTTAGTTTGTAATAGGACCATTTGCCCTATTCTAGTGAAGATTCTTTTCCCAAAATCTCAAGTGGTCGTGATTTTTCTCCTTGTTAGGGCCAAGGAGTTTTCCATGTAAAAATCTCTCTCGCATCTTTTAGTTCCTTTAGTTAATCTTTCTGTTCCTTTAGCTTACTTAGTTTTAATTCCGCAAAAAGTTTGGCTAAACTCTCATACTACAATTCATCCCCCCTTCTTGTAGTATTCTTTGAAACAACAAGATTAACCTACAATAATAAGCCTGATCATAGTTGACTAAAGGCGAAGTGACTATTATATCCTTGAAAATTAGTTTTTTCTTTTATTTTTTAACAATTTAATTATTAAAAAAAAAAACACCAACCACTCTTTCTCCAGCACGGCCAGACAACCGTAGGCCACCACACGCCTAGCCAGGCCCATACCACCCTGTTTCCGATCGCGCCCATACCTCCGGCTCCGGCGCCCACGAACCACCAGCCCTTCCCTATCCCCACGAATCCCTAAACTCTCTAAAAACAACCCCTCCCTTCGAAAAATCATCTCAACCCACGAAAAACCACAACAAGAACCCCAGCGATGGCGGAGGAGGGCGGGTTAGGGTTTTTCAAAGGTAGGTTGATGGTTATTGGGGGTTTCGTGGGGGGTGAGAGAAGGGTTTATAGGAAGGGATAGGTGGTTCAACACGCGGAAAGGAGATGCGAAAGGGGTTCACTGCTGGGTTGTTCGGGGTTAGGTGGTTTAGGGGTTGCGGCGACAATAGGATCTTGGTGGGCGCAGCCAGCGCCTGCCGGAAGCAGGGGAATTAGCTGGCGGGCAGGGGTTACGGGGGAAGAAGTGGGTGGTGGGTTTTTGTTAAAAAAGGGTATTATAGACATTTTCTTTTTCCCTCCCTTTTAAAACATTAACCATGGTTAATATTTTTCCAAATTCCTTAATGTTACCATTGAATTACTTTTACAAATAGGTGATTATCAAAGAAAATTTGATTTTTTGATGTTTACTATTGAAAAGAATAAAAAGTTGAAGAGTACCATTGAGGATTTCCTTTTTTTTTTTTTTTTTTTTTTTTTTTTTTTTTTTTTTGCAACAAGGGGTACTTTATGTGAAATGTAAAATATTCGTTTGTTACAAATAAAAAGAAACAAATGTATTATATAAATATCACAAAAGGCAAGGATATAAATGTCAAAGTTGATGCAAAGATTAAAATATCATTAACACAGTAAGATTGTACTTTTACGACTCTAATACAAGCAAATTCTTCTTAAGAAATCTTTTTTTCTTTTTTTGTTTTGTTTTGTTTTTGTTTTTTTTGTACTCGTACTATTCTCTTGTGCTAAGCTTTTCGAAGTATCTCTTTGTATGGAAGAATATTCAAAATCTTTGTAAGTTTTTCAAATTTTTATATAAATATATCGCCTAAACTAGCTTCACCTATGATCCTCAAATGATAAGTGTTTGTCATCCTCGACCTCCATTGATAAAGAATTTCCAAACTCCACCATTAATAAGAGAGAATAACGAGTTAACTTCCTCGAAACGCCCCTTTTATCGTCCCCCAACTCCAAAAGTATTTAAATGACAATTTTACCCCGACGACATTTGTGAAAAGATTTAAAAACCCTCTTGAGAACTTGTACTTCTATTTTCTCCTCCAATTTGTTTGCTAGTTTAGTGATTACGAGTAGTTCATTACTCCAAATAAAAAGCGGGAAAAGAGAACGAAGGAGAGAGAAAGAGTTGCGCAGAGACAAGAAAATGGCGCCATTGTTACAGAGCTCTCAACCTTGGGTTGAAAAATAGTAAGCAAATTTTCTCCACTTTATTCTCTTTACTTCCATTTTATACAAAATCTGAATTTTTTTAATTTCTGTAAATTAATTTCAGTCGGCCGAAGCAAGTGAAGGATGTTGCACACCAAGATGAAGTGATTCGAGTTCTTACCAACACCCTCGAAACCACCAATGTAATTTAATTTCAATTTTTAATTTTTATTGTTGAATTTTGTTTTCACTATTTATATAAAAAACCCTATAATTAATTTACCCATTTTTTTATTATTTTTTGGATTTTTTTGGGTTATTGTAGTGTCCTCACATGCTATTCTATGGTCCACCTGGTACCGGAAAAACCACCACTGCTCTTGCCATTGCTCATCAGCTTTTTGGGTATGGAGTATTTTGCTAAATTTCACAAAAGATTGTTGAAATTCTTGGAAGATTGATTATTTTATTATATGATTGGATGAATGAAGTTATTTTAGGTTTAAGTATTTAAGATGTACATTAAATTTGATTTTTTTTTGCTCCCATTTTAATGATTTTTTTTATCTTTTTGAGTGATTTATTTTAAGTATTATTAGTTGCATGTACTAAACGAGTATTGGAAAAAAGAGTTTGTTTAGGCATATTAGTGTTCAAGTGTTCAGCTACCAAAAAAGTGTTGGATCACTTGGTAAGGAGCTCACCTTCGATCTTAGGGGTTTGGAGTTCGAATCCTACCATGTCAGGGTGCTTGGGGTAGGGATTTTCTTACCCTCCCCTCTACTCCCAAGTGCCTGACCTGCATATACTGGACCTAGAAAACCGTGATAGTTTAGGTCGGGTTAGGGACCTTATGGTCCCTACTATAAGAATAAAATAAATAATATTAACTTGATTGAGGTCGTGTTCTCTTTTTTTGGAATGTGGATTGGCTTGACGCCAATAACATTTTAGGCATGGAAGTTAAATGGTTAAGGCAACTTGATAGTTTAGTAGCATTATTTTGCAATGTTGTATTTTGTATAAAACTATAGGGTGATAATCCCCAATCTAAAAGAACAACTCTGGCCATGATACTTGAATAGAATACAGGAACTTGTTGTTCAATGCTTTTGTTCTATCTCACAAGATAATATAGTGATTAGTTTGAAATGAGAGGCACATCCTTGTGATTATAATTCTAATATCCAATTGGAGTATTCACTGTCGATTGCTTGAATAGTTGGACTAATGTTGCTTTGCATTTTACAGGCCCGAACTTTACAAGTCCAGGGTGCTTGAGTTGAATGCTAGTGATGATCGTGGCATCAATGTTGTTCGTACCAAAATAAAAAATTTTGCTGCGGTTGCTGTAGGTTCTGCACAACGAGCAGGGTAAAGAATTGGACCATGAGCTTAAATGGATTTCTTGATTTTGTTGCATTCTCTCTCTCTCTCTCTCTCTCTCTCTCTCTCTCTCTCTCTCTCTCTCTCTCTCTCTCTCTCTCTCTCTCATGCAGTCATGTATGTACTTTTATGTTTTAAGACATGCCTGATTTTCTAATTGAAACATTGTAGGGGTTATCCTTGCCCACCTTATAAAATTATCATTCTAGACGAGGCAGATTCCATGACAGAAGATGCTCAGGTGTGATTTCGTATTCAGTTTATTTTATAAACCTATTGCATGATGTTTCTCACTATCATTGTTCTGTGCAGAATGCATTGCGTCGAACAATGGAAACTTACTCCAAAGTTACAAGATTCTTTTTCATCTGTAATTATATTAGCAGGTGGGTCAAGTGCTCAAGTCTATTCGTGTCATATTATAATTATATGTTCTGGTATTCTCTGTAAAATCTCGCTGCATTTTTTACTCGTTTACTTTTCATAGATTGCTCTCTTTGTACTATAAGTTATATTTGTTGTAGAGGTTCAAGTAGTGTGTAATGTCAGGCTCAGTTTGGGCAGATCCAAGGTGTGCTTTTCATAGATTAGTCTCTTTGTACTATTAGTTTTATCTGTTTACTGCACGAGACCTCTCTGGTATGTGGGTAGTCAATAATGGTTCACTTCAATTTCATATTGCTTCATGACTGACCCATAACTTTCATATTAGTTTACTTCATCTATGTTCTGTAATAGAGGCTTCTTCATGTTTAACTGTTTACCTATCACTGTCTATTAACTTGTTTCTTCTGTTATCTGTTTTTAATAAATAAATATAATATATATATATATATATATATATATATATATATATATATATATATATAAATCTTTTGCCCCCCCCCCCCTCTTTTCCCAACCGAAGCAGGTAATTTGGGTAACACCGTAAGAAACAGCTGAATAGGTTATGTTTTTGTTTTTCCTATGTGTTAAGACCGCTAAATGCTAAATAATAATGAACCCTAACTATAGGTTATATTGTCTTTTGTTGCTCATTCATATAATCAACTTCAATATTTTTCTTATTCATTTATTTAGAGATTCTTGGTTGTCAATCTTATTATATCCTCTGCTCCATTTTTAGTTTTTCAATTTTAATTCTATCACATTTGGCAATGTAAAACTTCAACCATTAATATCTTTAATTGTCAACAAGTAAACATTATAACATGTTAATATTCTTAAAAGTATACAACAATACAAATCTAACAAGATCCCTCATGAATAGTCTAAGTACTATATGTAAATAGTGTTAAAAGTGATGTCAAGATTGTCAACTACTTGTAAAAAATAACAGAGTAAGTATATGTTTATATAGTTTATTCATCATCTTCCTAATTTCGTGGACCAATCCTATTGGAGAATAAGTTAGAGCATATTCACGTGTCTGATGAAAAGAAATATTCCACTGTTCTTAATCTTCTTATCACCATACCTCGAATGAATTTAAGTCTAACTGGTCTTTTGTAGCTTCTATTTCCATAGAAGAAGTAGCTCTTCCATTGGATGGGACTGGAGGAAGAAGCCTATTATGGTTCTGACATTAGTTATAGAGCTACGCCTTTGTGAGGAAAAGTTATTCAGCTGTAGTCTAGAAACTAGAGCCTGTAGGGAAGGTCCTATATGCACTAGTGCATGATGCTTATGAAGATAGTTAGAAGGGAGCAACTGTTTTCCACTGGTCCACTCTTGGGATTATAAATGTTACTTATTGAGCTGATGTTGGGAGAGGATACATGTGAATGATTCTGCATTATTTGAACTTAATAACAAGATCCTACTATGGTGATTGCAGGATCATAGAGCCTCTGGCTTCAAGGTGTGCCAAGTTTAGATTTAAACCACTTCCGGAAGGCATAATGAAAAGTCGAATTTTGCATATATGTGGAGAAGAAGGCATCAATCTGGATTCTCAGGTATCTACCAGTATCCTGTAATTTGTACTTTTGTAGTTTGACTTCTTTATCTGTTAACTCAACATTGATTATAGGATCTGTTATTTATGTAGGCACTTACTACGTTGAGTTCCATTTCACAAGGTGATCTTCGTCGGGCCATTACATACTTGCAGGTAATTGAAAATGCTTACCTTTTTCCTACAATTACATAAATTAACTTGTCAATACACGTGCATGCTATAAATGCATCAATCTATATGAGGGCTTGTGATGTCTCATATCCTCCCTTTCAAGTGAGCATGTGTCTGCACATGTGTGTGCGGCATGTGTTATATTTGTGTTTTAAAATCTAAAGCTTACACTTAATTAGATACATGCTTATTACTTGTTAGCATGTCATTGTACAGTTGAATAAAGCTTAGTCCACATTAATGTATAAAAGAAACCAAACAGAAATACAAGAGATAAGACACTTCCTAGATTATTTAGATGATACTCCAATCTGTCCATTGAAATTTTCAACTGTAAAAATTTGTTTTAAAAATAATATTTATTGTCAGTGTAAAACAGTGTGAAATTATTTTGTCTTGAAGAATACTTCCATAAAGGTATTGCCTATTTTGTTTTTGCCCATGATTAGCAATTAGAACCAAACCTAGCTTGGTCTAGTGAGAACATTGCACCTTCCAACTTTGAGGTTGGGGGTTCAATCTCCACTAGAGGCACCTTGAGGTTGGGGATCTCTTACTCTTCCTCACTCTCAAAGTGTCTAACCTGCAAATATTGTACTAAAAAAGGTCCTTTTCCTTACCTTAAAAAAATGAATGGGACAATAACAGATGTTGCCTTTTTTTCCATGACAGTGTTTTAAATTTTAATACAAGGAAAATTTATCAGGGAGAAACCTAATTATTACACAAGTAAAGGACAAAACAGTGTCTAAAGAATTTGGTGTGATCTTGAATCTATGGTTCATCAATATAGAAACATATTACATATACTATGAATCTCTGACAGTCTGACTTATTAAAGGGCAAGGCAAAACTACTTGTTCATCCCCTAAACAACATTATGTTGGTGGATATGGATTTATACTGTGCTGGTGCTGCAACTAAGAATTTTTTTCCATCTCCAGGATAAAATTATGGTCAGAAAAGAATCATTAGTACATATCCAAGGCTTGCTCAAGATAAGATTGCAAATATCCAGCTTGATAGTATATCATTTGCAAATAAACCCAAAGTCACACATGGGGATAGTACTAGAGTAATGCTCATAATGTTTACCTTTTTGACATCTTATTACTTTGATGCTTTATGCACCTTCTAGTTTCCTATTATTGCAGACGGGGATTTAGTTATAAAGAAGAGCTCCAATAATCTGAGATCTATCAAATTGACTTGTAGGTTTTATCTAGGGTTCTTGGAAGGGACTTGTTTAGCTAGTTTAGATGTCTTCCTTGGAATAATAACCTCAAATATTAAATTTTAAAATCCTCTATTATATTGTTACATACTTCCTCCATTCTTTTTTGGTTGACACTTTTTGTTACTTTTGACACTATTTTACCAACTCTATATTGACCAGGTGTTGTGATTTATAGTCATTGTATAACAGTCATAAGCGATCTTGTTAGAACCATCTCAATGTATACTTTCATTGTATCAATTTTGTTATAACTTTTGACTTATTGATAATTAGAGATATCAAAAAGAATTGTGTCAGCTAAAAAAGAATGGAGGGAGTAGATCTTTTTCAACTTGTGGTGTGAATCATGTTCTTAATACTAGCATCAACAGTCTATGAAGTGGATAAACAATATTTTGATGTTGCATTGCTACCCTTGTGTCTAATGACGCTTGAGCAATGACGTTTCTAGCTGCCTAGCTGGAGTAATTAGGGTGTCATCTATAAGTTGGACCATAAATCTTTTGATAACGTTCCATTTTTAATTTATGGAAATGGGTCAGTGATGCTTGCTGTTAGCTTTCTTTTAGATCATCTGAATTGTTGGCCCAGGAGATGAATTAGGATTATAGAAGTAGTAGTATCTATTCTCTCCTTTATTTCCATTTAAGCTCTTAATCTATTGGATTTTCTAATAAGATAGCAGTTTTTTTTTTTTAAAAAAAAAAAAAACTTCTTATTTTGCATTTTAGATTTTTTTAAAAAAGAAAAATTTCCTTTCATCCCTCCTTAAACCACCACATGGTCCACATGATACTGTATAATAACACCAATGTCTACCAACTTTCCTACCCAAAATTCTAAAAAGGATCCACTTGCTAGAGTTAGTGAGAAGATAAAAGAATAAAAGCACAGAGGTAGTACTATGGATGTGTTGAAAGTCTTATGCTTCTCTAATATGATTGTGGGATTTGTCTGGATTTCTATTTGGGAGTCTCTAGTCACTTATGGAAGTCTCTCCATTTTACTCATTTTTGACATTTTCTTAATATTTAAGGTTCCTAATATAGTTGAAGCCTTCATGTGACCTTGTTTAAAGAGTCTGACTTTGAACACCACTACACTAGAACAGTTTGCCTGATGTTAATTTGTGCATTAAAAGTTGCAAGATGTGGAATTGTGTTTTCTTGCATTATGAGGTGGCTACACATACGTGGAATATGTTTTTTGGGTAATTTTTGGTGATTTGAAAGGATGGTGTTTAGGTGATCCCCTTCCACAAATTTTATTTAATGGGATCTTTAAGCAATTTGGTTAGTAAATAACTGTGTTTGGTTTACACAGAATTATAGAAGGCTGTTGCATCCATTATTTATGATCTAAACTAGTTATCAATTATATACTTTTTACCCATTCTTTGATATTTGAGAAATTTCATGGGATGCCCTAATGAAATGCCCTCTCAGTGCATGCTTTTTTACTTTTAATTTCATTGTTTAAAGAGTCTTTAACAGCTGATATTCTTATATAGTTGACATTCTTCGTTGTGTTCGGTAAGTTGCTGGCTCTTTGTTTATATGATGGTATAGTAATTACCTTTTGTAGCTTCCAGCTGCTATATGTCCTGGTTCTCCACCTCCACACTACCCTTGAAAGGACACCTTTATGGCATTTGGTTTGTCTTTCTGGGAATAAATGAATTGGTCATTTGTAGCACTTGCAATCATATTTTTTTGCTCAAGTATTTGATGTAGAGAAACAGGCCTAGAAAGCAAAAAAATGGTTTGCTAAAAAGTGAAAACCCTCAAAATTGTGTAGTAGAATTTTTCTGCAGGTCTTGTTGAAAGAAATAAGCATTAGTGCAATAAATCTTAAATTCTGATAGAATGATGTTGGAGTCAAGTGCAGATTTCAGTAACTTTATATTGGAATGACTAATCTTTCTTTTAATTGACTGAATTTCTATGTGACAGGGAGCTGCTCGCTTATATGGATCATCCATATCCTCCAAGGACTTAATTAGTGTGTCTGGGGTAAGCTGTATGGAATATATTTTTTCCCCTTTGATGAATTTATTATTGAAACTTAATCATTCCATGCTACTGCTTCTGTTAAATTAATGAATAGATTAGTTTTGTACAGCCAGCTGTAGTCTGTAAATGACTGTTTGAGTAGTTCAATTACTCATTATTCCCTCTATCTTGAAACAAATGCCAACATTTCAATGATATATTTTCTTGAATTAGTAGCATTATGGCAGCTCTTCATCAGTCAAACTGTATTCCAACTTTTCATCATGCCTAATACTAATTTTGCATAGAGTATGAAATCTACTCCCCTTGTTTCAATATAAATGTCCCATTTTGACTTTTTTGCACTATTCACATAATCCACTTTGACTAATGTTAGTGAATATCAACTTTTTATAATTTATACTTATTGATGATTAAAAAAATAATAATACCTCCGGTTTTTTTTAGTTGACACGTTTTGACTTTAGCACTATTCACACTCCCCTTTGACTGTGTTTTGTGCTTTATATGTAATGAAAAATACAGTCATGTGAGATCTTGTTAGATTCGTCACAATATGTATTTTCAAAATATCAACTTTTTATATTTTTTGCTTATCATTAATTAAAGATATTAATGATTGAATTTGTGCATAGGCAAATGTAACTAAAGAAACGTGTCAACTAAAAAGAAACGGAGGAAGTATTGGTTAATGCTTTGCATGGCATATATGCCCAATCAAAGTGGGGCGTTTATTTTGAAACAGAGTGAGAAAATAATAGGTTGTCAATTGCCATTTATTTTAGCAAGAAGGATCATCTTCTCTCTTCTGCATCAAAATATAATTCTTTTAATTGGAATCATATTTTCTACTCAACACTCTACAGGACATTCAGCATGCTTACATTGTCCAAACAACATATTTTTAACTGTTTTCATGCCTAAATAGTTTTCTTTTGTGTTGAAAGGTCATACCAGAGGAAGTTGTGCAGTATTTGTTGGCTGCTTGCAAGAGTGGTAACTTTGATTTGGCTGACAAAGCAGTGAATAATGTCATTTCAGAAGGCTATCCAGTTTCCCAGATGATCTCTCAGGTTGCATATCGTTCAACTTCATTCGCAACTTCTTTGTCTGTTAAGTGTTTTCCATGACACGCGACTTCAAATTGTGTGATTTTTCCAGTTATTTGATATCATCGTGGAAGCTGATGATTTGTCAGATGAGCACAAGGCAAGGATTTTCAAAAAATTAGGTGAAACAGACAAGGTTAGTTTGCATATAGTTTTCTGTTGCTGGAATGACTCCGATTCATGTCATATATGTTCATGCCTTTGTGTGGGACTCTCATTTGGTGTGCCTTACCAACTTCTGATTCTGAATCTGAAATCTATATGCATTTCCCTGTATCTGAAGTCTGAATGTAGTAGGGATTCCCTTTTCTGCTCCTTTCTTGCCGCTGATTTTTAACCTTTCATACGCAGTAGGGACACGTCTTAGAAAATTTAACTTGGGGGTCAATAGAAATTGGAGGCAATATTGTCCAAAATAAATTAAAAAAAAAAAAAAAAAACTCATTTGCAGATTCTATTATACATGAAAATATATCTGTAATTAATAAATAATAATTAGATGAAAAGAATAATGTATGACAAGCAGTACTAGTAGTGACTGATAATTGCTTATTTGATGAAACATTCTGCCATTAGTTGTAAACTTTTAATGCTTATTAACTCAGTTAATTGTCCAGATCTAGCTATATTTCTGTCTGAACTAACATTAGAGAACTTAACTGAAAACTAAATTAACCAGAAAATCAACATTAGAGGAGGGGGGATGATATGTTGTAGTCCAGGCTTTTTGGTTGACTCGTAATGTATGAGCATTTATATCAATTTGTGGGTATAGATTTCTGAATGTCAAATGATAATTTATTTTTAATTTCACCTTATCTTGAGCATTTACCTTGTGGTTTATGTTAATATGACATATAACGGTAAACCTTAATGTGGTATGTTTTGTAGTGTCTTGTTGATGGAGCAGACGAGTATTTGCAGTTGCTAGATGTTGCTGGTAACATCATGCGCGCTTTCTGTAACATGGCTCAAGATTTCTCCAATTAGACCTGTTGGCTTCATAGTATACAGTGAAGTTTCTGATGTATGAAATGAAAGTCAGATGGAATTTTTTGAGACATCATGATAGAAAGATTCTTGCCTCGTATCTTCCTGTTAAAATTTTTGGGCAACAATCTAAATTTGACTACAAAGGACTTGTGAAAAATTGATATATAATCTAAATAATCATCCTTTATATAAGAGGTTGGTTTGAATATCCTTATCCTTGTGTATACCAAGAATAGCTTAGTCTAGTAGGATAATTTGCATCTCACAATTTAGAGATTGTGGGATCAAACTCCACTAGAGGCATTTTAGGCCTTGGGGTGGGAATTCCCTTACCTTTCCTATTTCCTCCCCACTTTCAAAGTGCCTAGTCCATTAACCCGGGTCGGAAGGACCTATGAGAGGTTCTGCCTAAGTAAGGCACTTATCCTTTCCAAACCCCACCCCCCCCCCCCCCCCAAAGGAAAAAAAAAATCTAAATTTGAAAAAAAGAAAAAACTATTTTTTAGTACATGATAATAACTGATTTTTAAGATGTTTGAAATAGAAAGCTTTATATGTCAAACTCTCTTATATTTAATATTTCGCGATGATTATGTGGAATTTATAGACTTATAGACTCTTATATATATGAACATTGTTTACTTGATAGATAACATCACGTAGTTATGTCTAATCGAGGATTATGTTTAGGGTGACAACATAATCGAGCACGAGGGGGTGGGTGGCACCTTTTGACAATTTTTGGTGGTAATATTAATTCATTCATGTTAGTCTTTTTGATACGTACTAGCCATGCACGGTAAGTCAATTTTATTTTTTTTAAAAAAAAGTAATTAAATTTAACAAATAAAATTTGATAAAACATATAGTTATAATCTATATTATATAGTTATAATCTATATTAAAAGGCAAAACAAAAGATTAATATATAATTTCATGAATTAGATTAAAAAAATTACAAGGTGGTCAGTGTTATAAAGGTTACGCCGCACGCAAAACATGCTTAAAGATTTAAGTCATGTTTATTTTAAAGTAATTTCATTAATATCAATTAAATGAATCATTTTGCTTCAAAAAAAAAAAATGAATCATTTTTATTATGAAGTATATTACTGTACTTTTTTTTTTAACAAAATCTAATAATAATCAAGTTAAAGTAATTTTATTAATATCAATAATATGAATCAATTAAAAGAGTTGGACTAAGATTTTAGTCAAATATGTATGGAGGAATTAAAAAACATCAGATAAAAAGGAAAATAATTATTACAAAGATAATATAAAAGGTTTGAATAAATATTATTATAATTGTATTATACAAATATTTTAAAAAAAATTTTTTTGCTAAAAAGGAAGAAGAATTTTGGAGGGAAAAAAAGCATCAGGATATGACACGAGTCACCTCCGGTGTCTGTTTTAGTAAGTTATTGGTTGATTATTAATGATTATAACATTAAGAAGTTTTTTGTGAAATTATAGGAGGACATTGGACAAACATGCCTTCCTAGACGTGTCAAAAAATGACCCGATCAACTCAAAAAAATTCGATTAAGATTTTAACTTGTAAGGACATATTAGTACTCCCTTTTTCTTTTTCTTTTTATTTTCCTTTCATTTTTTTTTACATCAATTCGATTGACATATTTGCTGAGATTTAACTTTGACCATTAATAATTTATTACTCATATAAAAAAAGTAAAAGAGATACATTTAAAATAGTTTAAATAAACAAAAAAATTATGAATCAACCTCAAAATAGAATTGACCTAGGTTGCACAAGTACAAGTACTGACACGGATACGGGTATGAAACAAATACGGGAAAACGTCTATCTCAAAATAAGGGACACATATACGAAATGTTACAATTCATTTTATATATTTTTAAAAAGAATTTGACCATATATTTGTCATTCCAGAATCGGAAGGAAAGCTCTAGCCACTTGAGTTATCCCTCAATATCATATTTAACATTTATGAAATTTAAATATTGGAAGCTTCTACATTATAATTAAAATCTATCAATATATTGTAAGAAATTGAAACAATTTTAAATAGCACACTAATAAAAGACTTCCTACATTGAAATATGAATTAGACAACGTTGAACAGATATTATATCATAATTTTGATTAAAATAAAAAATTTTAAAATTACAAAATGTGCCTAATTCTTATTTATATTCATATATAATAATGATTTATTTTTAAAATATACAAATTTAAAATAGACTTTATATAAATCGTGCATCGCAGATTCGCAGATGCACGGGTTCTAACCTAGTTATTTAATAGTTACCTTATTTTAGTTTACTTAAATTATTATCGAGAAAGCGACACGTGGACAATGATGATGTCAACAACTTTTGTTTTAGTAATAATTTATAGGATACGATCTAAGACGTATCGTCGTGTGTCCCACGAGTGTCGATGTCGGTGTCTGACACGATGTCCGACACAGACACGACAGTTGGATGAAGTGTCCCTGCATCCTAGAAATTGACCCGACCTTGCCGAATAATTTGTGGTTGGTGCACCCAGGTGCACCATGCGCATGGTGCACCCAAAAGAACATTTAGTATATTTAAAAGAACATGGGTAAAAAATGAACATGTTTTTATTTTCTTGCAACTGCAAATCCATCACTCTCTTCTCCTGCAATTTCTCACTCCTCTTTCCCTTCCTATCACTCTCTTTCTTGCTGCCAATTTTTACTCTCCTTTACACCATCGTTTTCATTTAAGAATTTTAATGAATTTGGGTAAAAATCATTTCCAAAGTACTCATTTTCTCTCTCCATAACTTTTCTCTCTATCTTTTTCTATTTTTCAAAAAAAATTCAAAATAGCAAAATTGTTCATCTTCAAAGTGAAACCCAAGAAAAATATTGAACTTATCAACCTTCAAACTTAAACAAATGGTGGATTCAAGTAAAATGTAAGTATAAATTTTGTACATGCAAATTGTTTTTCGTCAATAATTTTAAAGTCAAAGTGTTTAATTTTGTGAATTTGGGTTTTTTTTTTTTAAAAAAATAAAATTTAAAGGTATAAAGTACAAGCTGTTCAAAAGAACAATTAGAGGAGAAAGAAGAATAGTAATGAATTGAAGTCAACTGGAAGATAACCAAGCAAGGTTAATTTTTCAAACACTAGCTTGTTCTTTTTCAAACATGTTCTTTTTATTCCATGTTCTTTTCGGAGGTCATATTCTTTGTCAAAAACAATCATGTTCTTTTGTTGAACACTATTATGCATGTTCTTTTTCAAATACTAGCATGTTTTTTTCAAACACTGGCTTGTTCTTTTTCAAACACTAACATGTTCTTTAAAATATGCCTAATGTTCTTTTCGGAGGCCATGTTCTTTGTTAAACACAAACATGTTCTTGTGTTGAACACTATTATGCATGTTCTTTTTCAAATACTAGCATGTTCTTTTTCAAACACTCGTATGTTTTTTTTTTCATATTCTTTAAAATAAGCCTAATGTTGTTTCTGGGTGCACCATGCGCCCGGGTGCACTATACTATTTTCACTCGCCGAATGCGTATCCACATCTCTAGGCTATTGTAAGTTCTAACCCGAACATGTATAAGGTATTAAGGTGTGAAACGCTAAACATCGCCCACAAATTACCATATAAAGCCCACAAATATGTTATGATTTGACCATTATGCCCTTTTGCTAAAATTGAGATAATCTCGGTGTAAAAAATGTGGAGCCGTATTGGCTCGTCGGGGGAGACCGGATGGCAGGCCGGAGATGTGGGGGACGCCGAAGGTACGTCGTCGTCGACGGAAAACGAGGTAAGTGACCGCTAAAATTCACGGTTTACCGTCGTAGTGGCTACGGCGCCTAGGGTGGACGCCCAAACCGTAGCCTGGACGTCCAAGCCGGACGCCAGAACCACCAGAGTGGCGTCCAGGCTAGACGCCCAGACCACCAGAGTGGCGTCCAGCCCAGACGCCCAGACCACCGGACTGGCGTCCTGGGCAGACGCCACTCCACTGGGTGAGGTGGCCCTGCCAGGCGCCAGTCCAGTGGGTGTGGCAGCCCTGGCAGACGCCACCTTTAATAATTAAATTTTATTTTTTCCTTTTTGATTTTGTTGTTGTTTTTTATTTAATTTTTTTGTGAAAATAAAAAATCGAAAATGATTTTTTAAAAAAATTCGAAATGGGTTTTTTGTAAATTAAATTTGAAAATTCGAAATAGGTTTTTTTAAAATTAAATTTGAAAATTCGAAATGGTATATTTTTAAATTTAGTTTGAAAATTCGAATTGGGTTTTTATAAAAATTAAGTTTGATTATATATAATTATGTTTTTTTTTGTGTTAATTATGTGGAAATATAGAAATTAAATGTATTATCCGTTAAATGTATTTATTGTAATATATAATTGATGCAGGAATATGGTGGAGACGAAAATGATTACAGTGAGATATTTGGACATGATGGTCCATTCGAAGAAGCTCAACAGGCGATTGATTGGGTAAATAATCATCATCGCAAATCAAATACACTAAAAACAAACAAATAATAGTAAACAAAATATAAACGTAGAAAACATACAACGAAATTGAAAAAATTTATAAAAATAAACAACAAAATATAAAAACAATTCAAAATTATATTACAAAAAAAAAAAAAAAAAAAAAAAAAAATTAAAAACAATTTTTTAAAAAAATTTAAAAAAAAAAAAAAAAAATTGGGGGGGGGGGGCGCCCTGGCTGGACGCCCAGCCGGCGGTGGTGGCGCCAGATGCAGACGCCGCCACCAGTTGGCTGGCGTTTGGGCTGGACGCCACTGCCACGGCTGCGGCGCTTAGACTAAACGCCACAACCGTGGCGGTGGCGTCCAGCCCAGGCGCCAGCCAACTGGTGGCGGCGTCTGCATCTGGCGCCACCACCGCCGGCTGGGCGTCCAGCCAGGGCGCCCCACCGCGTTCACGGCGGTTTTCCCCCTTTTTTTTTTTTTTTTTTTAAACAAAATATACCTTTCCACCTTGGGACATCCTTCCCTCCGCCGCCGCCGCCACTTCCTTGCCTTGCCGCCTCGACATTGCCGTTATTTTTTTTTTTTTTAGAGAGGTTGAAAGAAGATGAGCAATGAGAGTGTGAGTGATGAGAGTGTGAGTGTTTTTTTTTTTTTTAAGGTCAAGGGCAATTTTGGGAAACCAAGTGAATTTTGTGGGCTTTATGTAGTAATTTGTGGGCGATGTTTAACAAATCCCATTGAGGTTCGTTAACAAAACCAGTCCCAAATTAAAAAAATAAAACCACTGGTAAGGAAGGAAAGAGAGCGTACTCCCTCTTTTCCTAAATTGAGAAATGAAGGATCAAACTTTTTCAGAATTTGAAATCAGTTACTCGCTAGGTATATAATCGTTTTCTTATACCTTAATTCTTCCGAAGTTAATTTTATTTTTGTTTAAATTTCGTATTTTGTGAGCTTTTATTATTTGCATTGCTTTTAAATTTGATTAATTCTTCGTAGTATGTTTTTGCTTTCTTTTAAGCTTGGTGAATTTATAAATTATAATGATAATGAGGAATTTTGGGGGCAATAACAAAGAACTGTATAAAAAAAAATAAAATTAATTGTTTTTGGTTGATTAATATTATCATTTCTTTGCAAATTTATGTAAATGAGTGCGAAAATTGTTGTTTGTATTCCATTTTTAGCAATTGAATACAAACAACAATTTCATACATGTGTGTGACCTTTCCCGGTATTATTGTTAACACACTATTTCAGACGAACTAGTTTTCGGTTGAATTATCTTATACTGAATTACGAGCAATTAGAACACGACCCCTCGAACAACCAGCTCTTTACCCTCAATGTTCAATTGAAGATAGCTTCTCTCTGCACTAATCCATATATGATTGTGAAATAATTGTGAGTTTATTGCATGGGTTTCGTAGGAAATGGTAGATAGGAATGTTGGTGTTGTTCAAGCATAATGTTTTGTTTTTGTAGTTGCAAGAATGTGAGACTTGTTAGCCATGGGATCACTTCACAACAAATTGAGTAACGATTGCTTAATGAGTTAATCGATCAAGTAAAGTCTAAGGTTGAAAATATTAACCAATTGTTCATATAAAATATTCAGGTTAAAGGGAAATTATATTTGCGTATCTTTGTGAAGGATGTATGTTGTAAGGAATTGAAGCATGATTTTGGAAAGAGGGAAACAAGAGGATTTAAAAATAGCTTCAATGCTTCTTTAGGAGCTATTTCAAGTTTGTTAATGAACGATTTATTTGCATAGTTTTTCAGATGTTATAGCTTTTTTTTTTTGTTTCATCATCCCTGGTGTCAGTTGTTATTGCTTAAATAATTAAATTTGATCAAAGAAACCAAATTTCTTTGTGGAACTTAGTTTAAATTTTCAAAATGCTTCTTATCAATTTTTTTTTTTTTTTTTTTTGGGGGGGGGGGGGAGGGGGAGGAGGAGGGAGGGAGGTCTCAACACCTATGCATCATGTGCATTGTTGAAATACAGTAGTTACTTCAATTATCTATCCCCTCCCAGATGATTGTTTGGAACTTTGGATGGCCCAACAATCACAACATTAACAGTACCAAGCCTGATCTTTTTTTAATTATCATGACTTATGTAAAATAATTTAAATTTGCACAAGTTATTGATTCCGAGTTTCCAATGCTTCATGCATAATGTGCTGGTAGTGATGGGGCAGCTCATTTAGGACAAAAAGTTAAAGTGCATTTGTTTTGGCAGGTGATCTTTTGTCTGAGTATGAAGCACCGTGTCATGGTCCTATGAAAAAAATAGGAAGGCTGTTTTCCTACAGAAATGTTCATTTTGAAATTTTGATTTGGAGTATGATAATTTCTTCTTCTGCCATAATGTTTTATCTAATTGTGTGCAATTTTTCCAGATTGGAAGGTCCAATATCTGACAATAATAAACAACATGATCAGAATGGTTTGGAGCGATGTGCCTTGACATTGAAGTGCCAGTGAAGATAAGCTGGCCTTTTCACCGAGAAATTAGAAGCTAGTGAAAAGCAAAAGTCCCAAACATATAAAGATTTATCATATGAACTCAGATACTAACTTATCTTAGGCCCTGTACAATTCAGATTATTTTTGTTGAACTATAATTATTTTTTCTAATTGTAATTATTTTTTCTGAACTTAAATTAATTATACCGAACTAAAACTTATTTTTACTCATTCTCTATTATATTTGTTCTTTAAAGTTACTGAGTTTAGTAATTAAAAACTATTTTTATTAAATTGAAATTATTTTTATTGAATTGTAATTATTTTATTAAGGTGAAGAGAATTGGGTCATAAAAGTAACTTTAGGTATGTGCTAGCTTATTCAAAACATTGGATGTAACCAACTAGAAATCCTTTGAATGGAAAAGGAAATATGAAGATGCCTTATCAAAGCAGAAAACTGAAGGATATGACGTTTCTGCAGGCAGCTGCTTTTGAGTCTAGGGGCAGCACTGCTGAAGCAAGTCTGGCTGTTCTTCAAGAACAAGCTCGGTCTACATAAGAAGCAGAGTTATGGTGATGGAAGTATGATATTGCTGCTAGGGAGGCAAAATCATCCCCTGGAAAGGCAGCTTCTATGCAAGAACATTTCATTGAGGGAAAGTATGCTAAGAGCTGATTATGCCTAAGACTTTAACTGAAAAGGTTTGAAATACTCTGCTTTTTAAGTTTATATTTTCTAACATTTCTTTTGTCTGAGTTCTGGTTTTTGAATGCACTAAGACAGAGGTGCATATATGATGTCTTTACTCATGGATATGAATCTCTTGTGCATAAGGTTTCAAAGGGGAATCATTTTATCTATTTATCTGTTAGTTATAAAATCTATAGGATCATGGGTGTTAGGACAAGGTTCTAAAGATGGATTAGATTGAGCAATAGTTGACAACTTTAAGCTAGAGTGGAAGGTAGAATGAAACAAAGGTAGAATGAGACAATGTTAGAGGTAAATTTGGGACAAACAAAAACAACTCAAATTGAACTTTTTCAGTCTAATAAATATTGTTGGGTACGAGGGGTATCACAGTAAAAAGGATTTGCCAAAAACGGAATAAAGTGAAAGTGTACATTATGCAACAGGCGAAAACAGAAATTGTTGATAACGTACTCCTTAAATTTTTATTCTTTCTCTATGGGAGCATTGTGAGTTTGTGACATATAGGGATTTAGTACAGCACATACTAATACATTTCAAATAGTTGCTATTAAACTTTTCAAATTAAAAAATCATGTACTTTGGTTGTACTTTTGAACTGATAAATAAATTATACTTCCTCCGTTCTATTAATATTGCAACAATGGACTTGTTACACTATTCATCACTTTTGTTTGACCATATGATATGATTTATACATTAAGCAAAATATAGTAATGTGGAATCTTGTTGGATTCGTCTCATAAAATACTTTCACAATATAACTTTTTATAATTTTTACTCTTACACAATTATTAGTATTTAGTATATAAAATGTGTTTTGGGATGCGTAATTTCATCCTTGTTGCATTACTAATAGAACGGAGGAAGTACTATACTTTTATCAATTCAATCTTGTCAGATTTTTATTTATGTGTAATTTTAGATTATTGATATTGTATAGTTGATATTAATGTTTAATTAAAAAAATTTAATAGTAAAAAACGTGCCTTAAGGATCATGAATATCCAAATGTATAAGCTATATTGGGATGGATGAAGTAGATTTCCATGCTAATTTACAAATTCTAATTTCCAATCATCCTTAATCTCTTGGGATAGAACCTAGAATTTTCTTAGTAGTGAGCCCCAGAACCTAATAACAAAGCCCTTTTCATGGAAAATGAAAAGAAAAGGGGAATGTTTTTAAGATGATCCTTTTCCATAAAATTGGTAAAAAGGTTGCTGATCATTCTATGTAAACGTTATTTCCATTTGGTACATTTGAAGTGCAATAAAATGTATGATTATATGATGCCCCCTTCCCTTTCCCCCATCAAATTTCTTCAAAATTATTTTGTGTGTATATTTGTACAAGGTCCATAGAAATTATTCTTATAAACTTTTGTGATTGGAATTTTAGTTGATTTTGTTCCAATGTATAGTTATATGTTTCTATAATTATTGAAATTTTTTACCTAATAGGTATGAATCTATTATGGAAATATATATGTGGGTTCACACCAAAAGCCTTGGGGTATAATTATATTTAATTTAAAGGCGCTTTGAGCAGCTTCACCTAATATCCTATTAAATGAAAAAGTAAAAACGTAATTAATTGAAACCATAATCAATTATTGTACACTTGCATTTCCCTCTCTATTATTTATATTGTATAAGCTTAGGATATTGAAGTTATTTGATAAGAAGTCTAGCCTTGCTTGTGCATCACCATCAAGTTTTCTTGTTTGTAAGTATGACTCCTTTTGCCTTTTGCTATTATTTTCTATTATCATTCTTGTATAACATATGAATGTTTCAATTTTTATAATCGTTGATAATAATCCATGATTAATGCTCTAAAGAATCGATAATTATCATCTACATGTTACTTTTCGTGCCCAAAAATATTTTGGAAATAGCTTCACCAGTTTAAACTAGATTGGATAAAGGTTGCATACATCTAGATCTCTCTAAATCATGCCATGGTTGGAGAGATTGATATTGATTTATTATTGTTTATTAAAAGTATGTGCTTATAATCAATTTCCGCCTTTACCGGCCTTTTATTGTGTGAGAGATTGATTTACACATCATGCAACATCTTTTCTAAGCCTTGTAGATTCTTGCTTGATTAAAAAATTGATCCTATAAAATTGGGTTTGAACACAAATTAAGGATATAAAATCTATATATGACCAAACTCTAAAAATTGAATATCAGCAAGACCAATTTTACTCGTTGGGTTCCGTGGTAGAATTTGTAGAATAAGAACTTCTCAGACTCCCACGAAACAATCTTGTCCCTTTGTCCCCAAATAAAAGTGTAATTTGCCTTTTCAGATGGTTTTAGGAAGGTGAATCTAAAATAAACATATATATAATGGTGAAATGAGACTTTTATGTATGGACAAATTTTGGGTAAATGGAGCTTATATTTGGGGAAAAAGGCGAGTTACAAAACTAAATAAGTGCAATAAAAATGATTGTACTACGTATTGTATTTTCATGTCCTCTTGTTTAATAAGGATGAGTTAGGATGTTAATTTTTGGGTTGTTGCTCCATTCTTTTATACTTGCATTTTGATAATCATTGTACTTGGTAATTGTAAACTCATTGTTCAAATATTTTGCTCTAATTATTAGTATCATTAATACATTCATTTTATATATACTTCCTTTGTTTTTAACAGTTCGACTTGCTTAGTCACTTTGAGCCGTTTTACAAACTTAGACTCACTTCTAGTTTATCCCTTTATTGGAAAACCCCTTCTACTATCTTAGCCCATCTGTCTTATCTGTCTCATACTATTTACACCCTTTTGCACTCTTTTGCTTTATCAATTTTTTTGCTTACACCCCAATCGTTTTACCCATCTCTCTTACTTTATTCACAGTTTTCTTATAGCTACTAATTTTTTCCATACATTCTTAGAGAACTTTTGGGAATGGAAAGAGTATCTTTGTTTTAAAAACTAATCTAAAAATGAACATTTAACTTTGCCATATATAAAGATGAAAACACCCTTAATTCTACTACTAGCTGACCCATAACTAAAATTTTTTGGTTGTGGTGAAGGGTTGTTAACCCACAACATAAGAAGTCTCAACTTGGAAGTTGGAAATGACCCGAATCCGATATAACCATACCCCACCAAGCGTTTTGCTAGTTTTAACAGTATCCTATGCAAGATTAATATATGTGGATATGGATGACAACCTTTTTCCCTGTTTTTTTAACTATAATTTTTTATTTGGATTAATCTTTATTACTTGTTAAAGGTTGAATTTATTGCTTCATGCTTAAATGATTTGATTTTCTTAAAGAGGAATATAAGTTGTTTAGATATATGTATAAAGTCAATACAATTCGATCACTGCACTAGTTGTTAGCATTTTGGAAATAGAATTTATGAAGAATGAGCTCTCTTCATATTTGCTAGGTTTTGTGAAGGGAAAATGGTGATAGGAAACTCTAATGTCGAGGGGAAAACATTATATGCATGTGTCATATATTGTTCAAGCTATAGAAACTATCATACTTCATATTTTTTTTTTTTTTTTTTTTTTTTGTAACCAATTACGGAAACTCTTGTTAACCAGAAGCGAGTGAATGTAGAAAAAGATTAATAAAGCAAGAGAGATGGAGTAAAAGGTTGGTGGGCATAAAAAAAAAAGGTAAATTAACTAAAAGAGTGAAAAGGTGTAAATATTGTGGGATAAGGGGGATGAGATGTTAAGTTGTGTGCCAAAAATAGAATCAGGTAGAAGTGGTACATCAAATGAAAATATCTCAAAAAGGAATGTGGGTGCATCAATAAAATAACAGAGTGTATTAGAATATGAAGAGCAAATTGCATACATGTGTTTTGGTCAGAAGAATTTTCTGATTAGTTATAGTGCTGTCAACTGAACATATTGGTTTAGTTCTGGTTTTTTGATTTGATGTCCATACTGGCTCTAATTATTTTTAATCTGATGCAATCATTACAAGTTTATGTGTGTAAGGATGAACAATACATTTTGTCTTTTTAGGTTGTACTGAACTTGTAATAACTTGTGAGGGTGTTTGAGTTGGATTGTGAGATCACACTTCATAATGGCAGATAGTTTTCAACTAGTTTTATTGAAGGCAAAGTAAATTGGAGCCGAAAAATATGTCTTCTATACCAGAAACCTGATTTATGGGATAGATTTGGAAATTAATACTAGTAATCTAAGGGCCTGTTCTGTTGAGCTTAATTTCAGTTTAGCTTAGCTCCAATCAGTTCAGTTCCTAATTTCCTTTTCCCATAAACAATTTATTTCAGTTCAGTTCAGCCCCAATCAATTCAGTTGTTTTCAGTAAATCGGAACAAGGCCTAAGGGCCTGTTCTCATTGACTGAACTGAACTGAACTGAACTGATTAGAGCTGAACTGAACTGAACTTATTAGAGCTGAACTGAAATGAATATTTTATAAGAGAAAGAAATTAGGAGCTGAACTTAACTGAAGTGAACTTATTAGAGCTGAACTGAAATGAACTGAACTTATTAGAGCTGAACTGAACTGAACTGAAAATAATCGTATCAGAACAGGCCCTAAGTCTATCTAATATGAAATTATGAACTCTATATATAGATCAACATTTCGTGTATACATGAGGGTTCTTTTTTTTGGATCTATCTGGTATCTGAACAAAGGAAGAGGTTTATTTATTTGAATGTTTTTTCTTTGGGAATTCTTATGCTATTGTTTATGGTAATATATGTTAACTGGCATTTTCAAGTTTTACTCATGCTCACACTTCTAGATAGATGTAGATGATACTTATGTGACCCAGACTTTTCATTCACGTCAAGAACTCGTGTCAAATCCTTGAGACTCAGATATGAGTTGGAGTAGGACACTTTGACACTTCATTTTGGGCTGTTGATGTTTGCATAGGGCGTTCTAAGTAAATTACATACAAACTCATCACTATTTTTTTGATATATAATCTTGTGTATCAAGCATATAACATTTTTTAAAGAAAGATTAAGGTGTTAGGAATCAAAATTGACATTAAGGTCCAACATTACTCGGGTATGGATTTTATAAAATGGCTAGTCACAGAAAGGCAGCTATCTAGCCAAGAGCTGTGGTCAATCTGGCCATACCCATTATCAATACAATTTATACGAATATATTTCAGCTTTGTTTACATACTTAGTCATCCACTGCAAAGAACAAGTGATTTGGTTTCACATATATCATTTATATATGTAATTCTATTCCTTAGTCCTTTCTTTCTGGTAATTTTTTTTTCTTCTGGATGATGTGAGTCTTGTGATACTTACGAATCCCCACTCCCACAAATTTTCAGGTTCAGTGGCCCTTTTGTAGCAATGAAGTACAGTAATTGCATTGATGAATGGTCAACTGACGACTTTATGGTGCAACTTCAGCATTTTTGTGATGCATCAACCGCATTTATGCACTTTGTTATTCCATTGGAACTTATCTATTTCATCCGAATGTATAAAGTTTTTCCTAGCAAATTGGCAATCATTTATTTTGGAACTTTCTCCATTCTCTGTGGGGTAAGTTATTTGACTGACTTGTGGAGATACTCTCGGTACTATAAGTACTCAGAAACTTCTGCTTTGGTGATAAAGATTGTGCAAGTTTGTGCTGCTGTGGCATCATGGTTGACAGTTGTGGTTATGTATTTTGTGACACCAAAATTTTTAAGAATAAGAGAAAATGTACATCTTCTCGAGAACAGGGTTGATGATCTCAGTAGAAAAAAAAGCCTTCTGCTTCGTAAAGTAGCAACAAGAAGATCCATTGTAAACCTAATAGATGTTATTCGAAGCACCGTTTACGGGTACGACATTGTTGAGTCAACTCTTGTTGGGCTGGGAAAGATTTTCGACTTGGAGGAATGTTCATTTTGGTTTCCATCGCACACTAATAAAAGCCTGCAGCTTTCTCACTCTTTGAACCACGTATATTCTGTTGGTTCTGTTGTGCCTATGAACCTTCCTTTTGTTTCCAAAATCATTAATGCTGTTGGGGCCGTGAGGATACCGTACACCTGTCCCTTGGTGAGGGCAAATAAATGCACCAAGAGAGCCATGAAGTTTGAGGCTGTGGCCATAAGAGTACCTCTTTCATTCTCTGAATCGGATGACTCACTTAATGCTTGTGTGATGAGCTATGCAGTGATGGTTCTGGTTCTCCCTCCAGATAATATCAGGAAGTTCCGTAAGTATGAACTGGAACTTCTGGGAGCTGTTGTAAAACAGGTTGGTGATTATCTATGCTTCTCTTTTGTTTTGTGCTCGTTATCTTTTACTGTGAGTAGTAAGTAAAATTTTGCAGTAGACAGCCTAGTTTCATAAGCAGTTTGTTGGTTCCAATTCTTTCAAATATCCATTCACTGATTCTTATTATAAACCCATGGTACTGCAAGTCTTCACACATGTGAGATTGTATTTGGTCATGCTTTCATAAGTTCTACTCTAAGTGGTTATCTATCTTATATTTGGGATCTATACAGAAACATGGTATTTTTGCAAGTTTTTCAGTGGTAATTGTTCTTTTACTTTGTAGAACTAGTTTTCCCTCTTCTGCAAACCCTTGTTAGGCTGAGGCATGATACACCTAATACTTAGTTCTATTAAAATGATTTTTTAAATAATGTGTTTATTATATGGTCAATATCGTTTCTTTCAACTCGTTATGTCTTTATTATTTCCGTGCTTTGTTTCATGCACTGTCAGCATTTCAATTGCCTACCCTGTGAGAAGACTGGTGAATGGGAAGTATATTGGTAATTAGACTTCTAAAAGACTCATTAGATACTATACGTGTGTCAGTTTATGTAATGATATTTTACCAGTAATAATTTTTAAGTCTAACCACTTTTTTGGTATGGTGATTCATTGTCAAACAAAATCATTGAACCGTATCCATTACCTACTGTTACCAGTCTTACCACCCATTTGTTACTCTTTTCAAACCCTATTGTAACAAAATGGTTACATTTCGTAATCCTTAATTTGATACAAAGGGACTTAGCTATATGAAACAACTAGTATGGTAACAGCCAACAATCTTAACATCATCCTTTCCCCTCTTGTATGTTTCATTCCTTACCATGTTTTCATTTCCCGAATTTATACCAAACATGTGCTTAAACACAGTCCAGAGTCTCTCTTGCTAGCTCACTAACACAATATACAGGCAACAATATTTGACTCTTTAAGTAGTAATAGCTACCCACCCTGTCAGGCTACCACGTTCTACGTTTTTCTATCTCCATCAAACAGTTCACGTTCCAGGCATCATGGCTTGTATGCTTACTGAATTTTGATCATTCTTGTGGATCCAGAAAGCTGAAATTTGATCATAGGATTCCAATTTCTTGTGCTGTCTCAGGTATCAGTTGCACTTGGTCATGCTTCAACTATCGAAGATTCATTTATGGCAAGGTATCATCTTAAGGAGCAACTTTCTTGTAAGGAGGTGGGTTTATGGGGCATCATGAAAGCTCTCCACAATCCTGATGATTATAAGACTGAAAATTTCAATCCAATGGAAATACCTCTGTGTGATGTGTCATCTTTTCTTCAAGATAATACATCTGTCATCTTTTCTGTGGAAACACTGTTACAAAATGAGAAAGATGGTATGCTTGTTTTGAATATTAGGGCTTTCCACCTTTCGGAGGTCATAAAGCAGGTGTTCTATTAAAGCTGTGCATTTTGGATTTCAAGTTTACTGAATATCTACACCAGTGAAATGTAATGCAATTTTTTTTGTCTCAGGTTTTTAACGTCATAAAGGTTGCAGCAGAAGTGAAAAAATTATCACTCTCTCTTGTTTTAGCCCCTGATTTGCCTGTCAAAGCTTTGGGGGACATAGAAAGGCTAATGCAAGTTATTCTGATTGTAATGGGTAATGCTGTGAAATTCACTAAGGAGGGTCATATATTAGTAAAAGCATCTGTGGTAAAACCCAACCCTCGTAGAGCCTGGCGGCCTTCTAAATTCCTTTTGGTATCAAGTGACACTCATTTTTACTTGAAAGTGCAGGTATTTATTTTTACTAGTCATGGATATGTGACATGGCATGTGTTGAGTTTACGTCTTGTTTGTCTAGTCTTTTTCTTTTTTAGAAGCAGCTTTTATTATAGGAAGGTACATTATTTGCAAATCTTGAACTCAGTCTAGAAACTTGAAAGGTCTTTTACATATCTAACTTATTAAGTGAAGGCTGAAGGACTTGAATATTCTATGCTAATATTGTATTTACACAAAGTTAGAAACATTCTTAGTCCTATGCTAACATATTTAAGCTGCAGGTTGAAGATTCTGGTTGTGGGATCGACCCAAAAGATATACCAAGCCTGTTTGATCTTCCAAACACTTCTAATCGACATTCTAGTGTCTTACATGGGCTTCCCATTTGCAAATGGTACCATCTTTAAACTTTAATTTTTCTGCCATGACTTTTTTGGGTTTAATTAAAGGCACCTTGATGAGAGTTGCTGGGAGATTACATATTTACATGTCGCCATACTCATCGTTGTCATATGCTTCGTCTGATTCAAAATAATTACTTGTACAACATTTTGACTTTTGTATTCATATACAAACTTCAAAAAACTTTTGTACACATCCGGTTTACACTAATATTAGTGTACATCGAGCAGTATAGAGGTAACTTTAAGCCAATTTAGGGTAACTTTTTGTCTTTTTTGGGGTAACTTTAATGTATGATTTTTTTTATAAATCGAACAAGAAAATTTTTATAAGGGTGATAAAATTACTTTCAATCACTAATAATTGAATTTTAGTCATTTAAAATGTGATTCTTTACCAATAAAAGGTAGATTATTTTTATTTGTATTGGGTTATTTTTATACATATTAGGGTAACTTTTATTCATTTTAGGGGTAACTTTTGATCACTTTAAGAGAGATTTAAAATGGATGTACAATAATTATTGTACACCCGATTTTTTTAAAAGTTTGTGTACAAACTTATTCCAGTATACCACTCATTTTAAAAGTTATCAATTAAAATCTTGAATTAGTATGAACTCATTATAACTTATTGCTAATAGATTATAAACAATATTAGTCATTAAAGTTGTATGTTGGCAAACATGTTAGTCAAAGTGTTGCAATTTCTAAAATTGGAGGAACGACCTCTTAAACTCTTAAAATCTTTTCTAACATAAACTATTGCTATGGTTATGGATTCAGGTTAGTCGATGCCATGGGTGGTGAGATATGGGTTGAGAGTGATGGTTTAGGCAAAGGTTGCACGGCTACTATCATCGTGGCACTTGGAGTGTTTGATTCAGATTGATCATGCATGATCTTGGTCAAGAAGGCTGACAAAATGCTTAGAAACAGTCATATTGGTCACGAAGGTTTAAGAACGTGATTAAGTGCTTACAAATACTACAAATAAATGGCTGGATGGCCATTTTACAGCTTTAAATTATTCAGTGTTCAGATTTTTATCAAACCACATTATTTGTGGAATATTATTATAAATAAATGATTGAAACTCATCAATCCTTGGATTTTGTTTTTCTTGATTTATTTTTTTATTTTTAATAACCACAATGTTTTTAAAGGTTTGAATGTGAGAAACTACTATCAAGGCAGCAATAAATGATCAAAATTTGGAAAGATGAAACAAACAACAGATGATGATTTTTGATGACGCCTTGCCTAATAAAAACGAGTTTAATCCACGTAAATTTAGCTGCAACTTTTTTCATACTTTTCTAAATTATAAAAAAATAATCATCTACTCCGTACCACCTTGATTCTTTTGGCATTATATTCAAATACATTCCATTTACCCTACATTTTTCCCACTTACCTCTACAACTCACCCTTGGAAACTCCTCTTTAACCAACTAACTACAGCCATCACTTTGATCGTGTTTGATTGTTTCATTTCACCACACATGGCCATACCAACAACACCGCCTTTTTCAATCCACCATAGGCACGGCCTCCACCCCATTTGACCTCTTGAAATCACCCTCCCAACACTTATCCCAACATTTTTTGCTATAAGCCCATCCACCCAAGGAAAGGAGTGTTATTGTCCTTGATGGTGTTTGGTGCAAGTGAAAAAACGCCCTTCTTCCTAAATTTTCCCTAGTCTCCTTCCTCACTACCACACGTCCTCTACTACAACTATCGTCCGTCTCTGCAACCACCACTGTTACCATCTATCATACATCCAGCAAGATGCTACATCATCGACATCAAAATCCACCACCACCAACACTCGTCATCACATCCAAAACCATTGCGATAAGGCTTACATGGTCAAATTCATCCATAACGGCTCCACAGTTACCACTTGGAGATCGGGTAATTATGGGTTTTTGATGTGACATCTTACCGCCTACAATGATGGTAATTGGGTTGAGATAATGAAGCTAATCGTTACGAGATCTATTAAGGTTATGATGACTGGAGTGGTGACTAACAACTAGAAGTGTTGGCTTGTACATCTGGTAGCAGCCCCGGTTGTCAAGGTTTACGGCAAGGATGAACACCATGGCGGTAGTCAATATTGGTTCAAGGGTTTAGAGACCAGAGTAGGGTAAACACCATGGCAGTAGTCTATGACTTTTTAGTTACATTTGTCTTTCTGAATTACCACCACCAAACATCCCCTATTACTTTACATCACTTTTAATAATTTCAGAAATTATTGTAAACATCACTTTTAATAATTTCAGAAATTATTGTAATATGCCTTCTCAGTAAAAAAAACAGATGTAAATATTATAGAAGACCTACTCTAAAGTTAAAATTCTACAACTACACAGCAAGCCATAATCATAGATCTGCAGTTTACTTTCATCACAGGATTTAGCTTTGACAAAAGTATTGCTTGTATAGTCGCACTATATTTTGCATAGGGTATAGTTACAGCCATATGGATTTCCCTGAGATTTACCAGTTACTACGTATATAGCAATAGAAACGACGCTCCAAATCATATACCCTGAACAGCTGATAACATGAAACCAATTTAAGATGTGAAAAGAAAGTAATACATTTCAACCTGAGTATCAGGATTATCAAGCAACTCTATCTCAGTCATAACATAACAAGATCCACAAAACATATTAGCTGCAAAAAAAGATACTATGCTAACAAAATAACAAGGTCCACAGACCACCCTAAGTTTCCTCATCAGGTCTTGAAACTATCACTTCACTTCTTTGCTTTCTTGGCCCTGTAAAACATTAGGTCTCGAGTTAGATAATCTAACATAAATTGGAAACAAATTGTTAGTACAATTACAGAAACTCTTGAAAACATATTGCAACAATCAACTTACTGTGTTGGCTTAGGAGCAGCTGCTGGAGCGGCAGCAGCTTCAGGTTGTTTGGGTGCTTCAGCATTTGGTCCCTGAAAAAACGAACACCATAAATTATAAACTAGCAAGAAATCTCAAATAAGTTGCATAAAATTCTTATCAGATATAAGAGTGTATTTTGCATATGAATTTACCAGAGCCAAACGCTCCTCTCTTCGGGCCAACTTCCTCTCCCTGCTAGCCTTGTTCTTGGCACGCTTAGCCTCAAATTGGTCAGACAAGGTCTTGTCTCTTGCCTTCTCAGCCTTGGTCTTGTGGATGCTTTCCATCAATACACGCTTGTTTTTGAACACATTACCCTTCACCTTCATGTACATGTCATGGTACATGTGCTTGTCAATTTTCTTTGACTCTCGGTACTTACGGAGCAACCTCCTGAGAACTCTCAACCTCCTCATCCACAAAATCTTGGTTGGAAGCCTTGCCTCCCTGGTACCCTTACGCTTACCTAAAATGAACCAAAATCACGCTTAACATCACATAGTTAAATAGTATCATCACCTTTAGCTCAATTATCAACTAAATGGTTCTCATTCTTTCAAATGCCAACAGGGCAGACACACTTGACCGATAAGATCACAAGATATGTCGAATGCTTCTCAAGTGATCACGGTTTCACTTCTGATTCCTGTAACTAATCTACTTATTGAGAGGAACTTTAATACTCATTATACACACCAACAAACTTTAACAGCAGAAAATTTGACAAAAACACTATCCAGGTTGATGATATGCATACCGTGTCCTGAGTGACGACCCTTCCTCTTTGCCTCCATCATACGACGAGCACGAGACCTTGAATGAATCTTGGTAGGCTTCCTGATAATGAAACCATCCTTAACCAACTTTCTGATGTTTTGACCTGAACAAATCAATCAAACATAAATACCTATTCAGCCACATCTAACAACAAACAAAACCATATAAAAAAATCAAACAGCAAAAAATCTTCAATTGCATAATAAAAGCCATATCAATGCCAATTAATTTCGCAAAATAATTACTAGCATAGAGCAGTATAAATTGCATAATAAGACATATATAACTTCAATTGATAAAACTAGATACCTCCTTCAAACTAAAAACCAATTTACGCAGAAAAATTCGTCATTTGCAAAGCTCATATGTTCAAATTTCAAGTTCTAGATTAGAAACTGTAACAATTAAGCACTAACAAAATCGATCAATAAATTTAATAAAGTAATTATAATCTCATCATAAAACTTCCTACAATTCGATCGAAGATACATCAAAAGATCACCATTTTCCAGAAAAAATCACATAAAAAGCGCTAAATATAACCATTGCAACAATTTCTAGGGTTCTAATTCAGATAATCATCAAAAAATTACAAAATCTAACAATCGATTGAAAAGAAAAAACGAAAAGCAATCGAAATCAAAGGATAAAGAGAGAGAAGGAACGTACGAGAGTTAGCCATGGAAATTTCATTGCCTTCATTAGGATCAAGCCAAACCTTGCCACGACCGCACTTGAGGATATCAGCGGCGAGCCGCTTTTGAAGCTTCAAAGACACCATTGTTGTTGCTGCGAGTTTCTCTCTCCTCTCACTCTCTCTGTGGTGGGAGCTGCTAGAAGATGGGAAATGGAGGAAGTGGAGGCTTAAATATCACCAGTTTTTAGAGCTAGGGTTTTGGGGATTAGGGGTTTACCCATTTTCTTTATTTATTGGGTTTTTGGGTTGGGCTTTTTTTTATGGCTTTGTTTAAATATTGATTGGATTGATTCGTTCAGTTTTTTTTTCATTAGAGGTCCTATGGTTTCTAAAATATGGGGTCCAATTCTTGTAATATCTACCTCATGTATTTAGGGTCAACTTTTATCTCTACTAGGGGAGCCTAAGCATAATCGATGTTTATGGTCGAGTTGTAATAGCTTGTCATAACACACTAAACTTATTGGGTAGGCTTTTGAACGCATATACATGAAATAAATTGTTGATAATCATACCCTTGCATAGGTACAAAAATGTAACACTTGAAAATATATAAACACTATTCACTTTTTAGTTGTAAGTTTTTTATGGTGTAATATGACTTTTGTTGTGAGTTATAAAATACAATTATATATCATCCGTCACTTTTAGTTGCAACACTTGAAAATATATGCATTTTTCATTTTTTTTTAATAATTGATCTTTATTTTTATTGACTTTTTTTGTTGCACAAAATAGTCATGTGGGATCGTATTAGATTCAACATTTCGATTTATATATGTGTTTTCAATATTTAATCTTTAGATTATTTATATGTCTATAATTAGAGATACAAGAGATTGAAATTATGTATTGACAAGCGTGAAAGTTAAAATGTTACAACTAAAAATTTAACGAAAAAACATTCAAAAGAAAAATGTCTAATTAGATGATTAGGTAATTAAATTCAGTGGGTTTGTGTGTGTGTGTGTGTTTGTTTGTTTTAAAGAAAATAGTAACAAAGTGGGTTATATCCGGACTATTTCCCCACCCTTTGAAGAGGATTATTTTCACATTAAATAGTTTTGCCATTAAATTCAACAATTTTCTCCTCCTCCTTCTCCTTTTCCTCTTCCTCTTCTTCATGTGGCTTAACTCGGTAGGTGCTTTAATGGAGGGCTCATTTGCTTTAATGAAGGAGAGAAAGAGAGTAGGGAAGTACATGAGGAAGGAGAGAGAAAGGGGGGTTTAAAAGAGAGGAAAATGTTGAAAGTTGGAAGGGAAGAAAGACTAAAGAAACATAGAGAAATAAATACGGAAGCATAAGAGTTAATATGACATAAAAGGGTATATGGGTAAATAAGCAATTTTAAGGGTAAAAAAGTCATCACACTATTCATAAGAGTTCTTTTGTACTTTTTATGAGATTTGGGTTCTTAACAAATGGTCTCTCTAGTCCTCTACCCTTTTTAAAAAGTATCAATTTGACCGGCATAAAGTTTTAGGTGGGTGAGTTAAATAGAAAAGTAGAAATAGGAACCACGAGCCTGTTCTGATTTACTGAATTGAGCTTAACTTAATTGAACTGAACTGGGCCGAGCTGAATTGAACTGAACTGGGCTGGACTGAATATTTTATGAGAGAAGGAAATTAGGAACTGAATTGAACTGAAAATAAGCTGAAGAGAACAGGTCCCACGTAATGAGATGGATACCATTAAAAAAAAAATTAAAACAAGATGTTCAAAAAAGAAGTGATGAAGGACTTAAAACACCATGACAACATTCCCCTATACTAGTTGCCTAGTGCAGCTTCCCCCCTCCCAACAGTTAAATATACTAGACAATTTTTTTTTTCAAAACAAAAAAAAACAAATAATACAATTAGCTAGTCAAGAGATATACAAAGTATAATGAACAAGTTAATAAAATCTACAATCTACTCTAAGGCAATTAGTTTATAATAACTATTTATTCGATAATTACAAAACAACTATTAAAATCAGATATTCAAAACATCTAATAATGCAACTAGTTTGTAAAATCGGCTAATACTAGGGGTGAGCATAACAGGATACCCTGAAAAATTCCAGGAACCGGAACCGGAACCTGTTGCAACAGGTTCCTCAAAATGAGAACCGGAACCGGAACCTGTTGAACAGGTTCCTGGAAATTGGGAACCGGACCGGTTCCGATTCAGGGTACCCTGTATTAATATATATATTTTTATAATTGTAATTTTGATATTTATTATTTAAAAATTGAGTAAAGAATTAGTGTATAATTTGAAATTAAGTGATACTTTTATCAGGTACAGGGTACCCTACAGGTTCCAATTCCAAAAAATTGAGAACCGGAACCTATTACAACAGGTTTTCCAGTTTGCTACCCGGAACCGGAACCTCTTGTACAGGTTATGGTTCTGAAACCTGCGGTTCCTAACAGATTTCGGTTCCGATTCAAGATATCCTGATTTTTTGCTCACCCCTCGCTAATACAACCCGCAACACTTAATATAACGAGTTATTTACTAATTACAAAATAGGGTATTTGAGATATGATCATATGTGGTCAATGAGGGTACGTAGGATAATGACGGGAGACTGGTAAGTGAAGTAAGTGTAAAACAAATATATTTTTTTACCCGATACGAGTTGGGAATATGATTAGGATCAAAGTAAATTAAAGTAAATATACTCCAACCCTCTCCTATCTTACTTTTTCATTAATATGTAAGTGTGTTTTTGTATTTTTATTTCTTACGAAGTAAATATTTTTCTGACATCACAACCATGTCAAAGATCAAAATTTAAAAGAATAATGAAAAGGAAGCAGGTCAACTTTGTTTAATTATCGAATTGGGCATGGTTAATTATTAATACTAATTGTTAAGTATCAATGCAAAGTCAAATTGATTTTAGGCAAATTCAGTATCAGTCACTCAAGTCTAGTTAATTTTTAATTATTGCTTTGCATCATTTTAAAGTTTATAATGAGTCATAAATTTCAAGTCAAAGCTAATCAGATTTCAGGTGAATTAATTTTATCAAATTAACTTTCAAATAATTCTCTGCATTTTTCTCTCAAAACCAACAATTAGTGGATCAGAGTACTCGGTTAGTCCATCATAATTAAACTAATAATATCAATAATATATTCCATATGTAATACTTATACAAACTTAATACATAATTATTTTTGATAAACTACAAACATTATACTATATTCATACCATAATCAAAGGTATGGTTACACTACGTTTGCCATCAGTCCAAGTGACTGAACTAGAAGTTTGTTCATTTAGCGTGATTCCTTGATCTTTCACTGCCGAAATTGTAACAGAAAAAACTTTGCTTATCCCAAATCTTCTTGAAACTTAATTCAGGAGGATTAACAGTCACATTAAATCCTGCAGGACTCGAAACTTTCGCGGTATACGTTGATGCAGTAGCGTTCACACTTGTTAAAGTCCTGTTAAACACTTTACCTTCAACATCAGATGGCACAACCAAGGCAGGGTAGTTCAAGTCCCACTCCTTAACCATCGATTTTTTCATCGCAGATAATTGATTTTTTCACAACGATCTTCATTTCAGTCGCATTGTACCCTGAAGCACATAGATTTTGAATGAAATCATCCTCACTGATATCATACACTAGCCCGGGATCATTCGCCTTTTCGGGGTTCACATGTCCTGCACCAGTAGCCCAATAAGAAGACGCCTGATCTTGATTTTGAGCCATCTTGCTCATCTCATGGTAACCAATATACGCCGTGGTCATCAAGGCGGACTTGATCATAGCCGGGTTCCAATCAGGGTGAGCACTCTTGAGCAAGGCGGCTAAACCCGAGACATGAGGGCAAGACATAGACGTGCCTGACGCGATATTATACTGAGTAACCCTTTGGTCCTCTTCCAACCTAGAAGGCGGTACGCCTTCAGGCCAGGCAGCCAGTATATCAACCCCTGGCGCGATCACGTCAGGCTTTAGTACATACTTAGACACATTATTTGGTCCTCGAGACGAAAACGAGGCAACCACCGGAGCCGGTTTTTCGCCTATTTGTGTCCCTCGACACACAATGGTCCCTTCTTTCACCTTCTTCTTACTGATATCATCCAAAAGTTTTGTAGTTGCTCCAATAGGTATGGTTAATCCGGGTATCGTATACGGGTCGCTTTTTTGTGTATCGTTTTCGCCTAATGTAGGATCATTTAGAGCTACAATAACTCCCACTCCACCAGCTTTACCCACAACCACCCCTTTCTCAACTTTGTTGATTAGCCCTGGTGAGCAAATTACGATTTTACCCTTTACGTCAACACTGTCTAATGACCCCGGCATACATTGTTCCATAGAATAATCAGATGTAAAATGTACCAAAGGGTATGTTTTATTCTTTGGTAGTGGATCCCCTGTGTAGAGAGAGCTGCCTGAAAGAACATCACCATTGTCAAGGATGACATCAGCAGGGAATGTTCTATCGATGGTGCTAGCCCCGACGGAGATGTACCACGGGGCGGAAGCCGAAATTTGTCCAGGTAAAGGTCCACTATTTCCAGCTGCAACTGAGACAAACACCCCCTTTTGAAATGCACCAAATGCGCCTATTGCAATAGGGTCTGTGGTGTAATCACGTGACGCGACGGGGCCTAAGGAGAGGGAGATGACATCCACGTCGTCCTCCACGGCTTTATCCATGGCAGCTAGTACGTCCGACCCAGTGCACCCGAACGTCCAACACGTCTTGTAGATAGATAGCCTTGCCATGGGAGCTATCCCCGTGGCTTGGCCTTCTGCGTACCCAATGAAGGAGACATTTTTTGGAACTCGTACGGCCTGCAATTGTGGAGGCCGTATGAGTCCCATGCCCGAAATCGTCTCGAGCTGATAAAGGATCGCCTTTACGTGCTGCACTATTGAAATATCGTACGCCAACAAGTTTTTTTGTTACATAGGAAGATGGGAAGTCCACCCCTCCATCACATACACCCTTGAAGCGATCTGGTACCTTGTCCATCCCTTTGTCGTCAAAGCTCGGGTGCTCGGGCTTGATACCCGTGTCAATGACTCCAACCACGACGTTAGACCCCAAGTTGGAGTCCTTTAGCAACCCTAGCGGGGTATGGTACGAGTCAAGGCCAAGGAAGTGAGGTGATCTTGTTATTTGAGGTTGGTAGACTATGTCTGGAATGATAGAAATGACTTCAACTTGAGCTCTTAATGAGTCGGCATGCTCGGCCCTAAGCCGGGCCGAGAAGCCATGGAAAACGGTGTTGTAAACATGAAGCAAGGAATCACTGGGATTAGAATTGATTCTACTAAGAATGGACTTGTACCAATCCTCAACATTGGAAAATGTATTGGGTTTTAAGTTGTTTTGGATACTAATAATGTAAATTTGTTTATCTTGGTTACTACTATGAAGATTATGGTTTTGTACTGCCGAGGTGTAACGTAAGGAAAGAAAGAGTGTAAGAAAGATAATTGAAAAAATGCGAGACATTGTAAAATTTTGGGTTTGAGAGGATAAGATCATATGTGATGTTTTCATGCATTTATATACTACTACGAAGAGTTTAAGAAAATTAATCAACGTCAATAGAATTAATTTAAAGTTAATTAAAATTAGAGTGTGTAATGACTCCACCACATTTCCGCATGAGAATATGGGAGGATTTTACAAGCTAGTTACATAAAAGGAAATCCTTGCTTGATTAAAAAAAGGCAATTATTGTTCCATTGATATTTGAAGGTAGATGAATAATGTGAATATTTTATACATTATGATCATATTTGAATAGAATTAATGGGTTGATGCGCAAAATGTATTATCAATTGGTTTTACTGGGTATCGTGTCATGGGATAGTAGTTTGTGAGTGCAAATAATGGCTCAATTTACTTAAATTGTGGAATTGAGACAAATAGTTGCACAATGATCAGATGGCATCATTACATAAATGTTGAATGGAGTTTGTTGTAGTTGTTAATTTTGTGGAATGACAAACAGCACTCTTACCATGTTTGTTGCACGAAGAACTAGTATCTTAAGATTCTTTACCACCTTCTTCTTCACGTTTCTCCACTAGTGACTAGTCCACTTCCCCTGCTATGCTTTCTCTATTGCAATTGTTTACTGAGAAAGTAACTACGAAGTATTTTTTTATTTTATTTTTTTAAACAATAAAATACGGGAGAGGGCCTCCCACCTTATTATATGAATAGGGGGTTGTGAGGAGTCGAACCCCCATCAAGAATCATCTCTCCATCTCCTCACTCCTCAACTACGAAGTATATAGAAGTAGCTGCAAAGCTACATCAACAATTCAATGTGAAAAAAAAAAAAAACTTTATACGAGTAATTACAATGGATTATTTAAAAGACTCGTAAAAAAATTACTAGTTTTGTTGGTGTGGATGATGTATTAGGGAAGGAACCTACATTATCACACATGTTAAGTAGGTTTGTAAACAAGTTTTCATCATATTAGATCGACCGGGAAAAAAAAGTTTGATAGAATCAAAATAAATTAAAGGTGAATAATCTTTCACAATGAGAAAGTTAGGGCAATCCGGCAATGCGATACTTTCGAACAAATTAGTATAATATGTTAGACTTGTATATATAATTGATTCATATATGTAGGTTCACCTGCATTTGACTGATCCTAATAAATATTATTGTCAAAACTATAGTTGGATATGGGCTAAAGGCCCAAAGCAGCATAAGGGTCAGTCATACATGCCATGAAAATGGTCTAATTGGGGCACAAGCTAGCTAGCTTTAGCAAGGCATGAGGAGCACTTCAGTGAGCCATATCATGAACCTTACATGTACATAATCTTTAGGGGCCGTTTGGTTCGCAAAGGGAAAAGAGAATGATTAAAAGAAAGGGAAATAGTGGGAATGGAAAGCAATTCCCTCATTTATTATAGGTTTTTTGTTTACTTCAAAAGAATGGAATGAAATTTGAAAATAATTGCACAGCCAACAAGGGCAACAACCAACTCCGATCCCACCTCCGACCCCCTGCGGCGCAGAGCTCGCCCACGGCCCCACCCCCCTTCATTGGCCCCCAACCTCTCTTCCGGCGACGCTACTCCCCTTTCCCTGCAACACCGCCACCCCTCCCTCATCTACCGCCAGTCCGCCACACCAACTCCATGGGTAAAGGTGGATTTCATCCCTCTCTCTTTTTATAGGTAATATTTTGGTAGATCTAGAAGGTTGTATGTTTTTAGAGTGTTATGTGTTGTTTTTTTGGGTAATTGGAGGTTGTTTATGGGGTGGTTATGGTTTCTTATTGAGATGTTAGGGTTTTTTTGGTGGTTTTTGTGGTGGTTTTTGTGGTGGGTGTGATGATTTTCGTGGGTAATTGGTAGTGAATGTGGTGGTTGAGGGTTTTTTCGAGTGAAGTTGGGTAGTTTGGGGGAAGATTGTATTTTTTTCCGATGGATTTGGGTAGTTTCGGTGGTGGCTGGGTGGTGGCGTCAACACGCCGACGGTTTTTTGGCGTCTGAGCGGTGATTTTGTAGGCGTATGGGGCGGTAGTTTCGGTGGTTAGGTGATAGTTGCGGTGGTTGGGCGTGGTGTTGGTGGTCGGTTGGTGTTTTCAAGGGTGTCAAGGTAGTTAGAAAGTTGGTCAAGGTAGTTGGCTGAAGAGGATTTTGGGGGTTTGAGTGATACTTTGGGGGGGGGGGGAGGGGAATGAGAGTAGAGGAAAATGGGGTAATGAGAGGGATAAAGGGAATGATTGATTTTGTCTATCAAACATCAACAAAGGGATTCATGGTAGTTGATTCCCTTTCCCTTTGTTTGAATACCCCCAACCAAACGGCTTAGTAATTTTGGCACAAGCATAATAAGTTGACTCTGCTTGATTTAATATTGTGTCGAACCGTGTCATACATGTGAGCTCCCTTAAAAAATATATGTATATAAAGCGAGCCTACATGCATGCGTGCACGGTTTGACATGTGTGGACTGTACTACGTATAAACTCCATTTATTATAAAATATCGACACGAACCTAGCACATCACAACATTTTTTTGATTTGTTTTAGGTACAATTTGCTTGAACCTAACACAAAAATCTTATAACATGCATGGTCCATAGGCTTGCACAAGCACAACCCTACGGCCTCATCCAACTTTCAACCAAAACTTCTCCGAATACACAAATAACATATAGTCCATGCATGATTACTATGCTAGTGCTACACTTTGATTACTCGGAAATAATAATTTCATTAATCTATTCATCTTTGTTCTAACGTAAATGAAGCAAGTATGAGATGTTCAAAGCAACATGATTGACAGGTACAATAACATGAGACTGCAATTAAATTGCCAAAAAGAGACTTAATTTGAGTAATATGAACAAATTAAAGTTGAAAACAAGACAGTCAGAGGCTTATAACACAAGCTAGAAACTGTGAGTCTGTGAGCGCCCACAAAGACGTAATTCCAAAACTATGAGCGCACCTGGGAACAGCACTTGCAACTTGCTTCGCCAATATGCAACCATGCATCGCATTCTACCAGGGGCGGAGCCATGTAGGAACAAGGGGGGACGGTTGTCCCCCCATTTTTTCCAAAAAAAAATTTAATTTATGTTAGCTTAAATAAATGCTGTAAATAAGAATAAATACCTTACATGTATACCTTATATAACAAAGACAACATTTGGTCTGGTGGTTGATGGGCTTGAGTAAAGCTTGTATTTCTCTTTGATCCTAGGTTCGATTCTTTACCCGATCATTTTTTTTGTTTCTTTTTGCTATTTTTGGACTTTATTTTTATTTCATTTTATAGTTTATACAAAGTGCTCCTATTTAACTTCTTTTTCTTGTTTTTGGATTTGCCATTTTTTTTTTTTACTGGTTTTTAAATTTCATTATATAGTATGTAATTTATATATACAAAGTATTATAAGTCTTCAAACCTCTAATTACTCTCATTTAACTGTTTAATCAAGTATCGCCTTGTTGATAGTGATTACTAATGTGTTATTAACTATTTGTAATGAACACATGTCTCCGTATTTTTTTATCTCTCTAATTATGTGTGCCTAAATTCTATTTTTTTTATAGCTTGTTTGGAACTAAGTTTCCAATTTTATTTTTAGTCAAAGAAAGTTTATTTATTTATTATTATTATTTTTTTAAAATGTAACCCAAATCCCTTTACATCTACTATCAATTTGTGTAAATGCTTATCATTTGATAAATCATATTTATCGATTATTAAGGATTACATACCTTAAAATTGGGGTTTACCAGCATAAAAAAAAAAATTTGGTTAATAAATTTCTTAATATGCAATTAATTTTTTAACAACTCCTCTTTCACCATATAAGAATAATTGTCATATCTCATAAGCGATTTCAAAATATATATTAAACAATTTATGTGATCAATTTCTTTTTTCTTATAATTATTGTCGATTATTAAACATCTAAAAATTGTCCCCCCGGATTACAAATCCTGGCTCCGCCACTGCATTCTACGTGTTCAACATTCAACGACCACGCACGTTCATTGAACTACTTTAACATTTTACTAGAAATATTGCATTTGGAAAAAGGAAAATGATTAAGCTAGAATTGAAGTCAAACACGTCGTATAATAACTTTATACTGAAACATAACCCCTTCATGTATACTTTTTCGATCCTTTTTTATTTGCACCATATGATTTGACTTATAAAGCTCTTAACTTATTGCGTAAATTTCTTAAGAATGAAGATTTTTCCCCCTCAAACATCATTCATTATTAATTTGACCGCAATTCAATCGATTCAATCAACATTAGAATGTTAGACCCATCCAAATATAGCTTAAAAAACGATTAGTCAAATTAAATCAATAGACAATAATAATTGATTAAAGGTACACGAAGTGTATTACACATTACAAAGTATATATTATTACACAAAATCTATCTATTCTTGTACTACCTCCGTTAAATATTATGCGCAACTTTGAAATATTATTTGTGAGATTATAAAATATTTCAAAGTTGCACATAATATTTAACGGAGGTAGTATTTATAAATAATAGGGTTAGTGTTACAAACTAAATAATTAAAGTAACTCAAAAATATTTAATCAAAAAATCAATGACAAATTTGTCAAAAAAAATAATAAAATGACGAAAGGAAAAAATCATTATTGCATCAATCCTAGAATAAAACTACGTTGATGAAAAATACGTCACTACCTCATGGCTGATCAGATGAAGCATCTTCATGAATCATGAATTCAATATGAAATAAATCATGTTGTTGATTACCATTTCTAAATTAGGTGATTGAAGTATAAATAAGTATAATTTTTAATTCAACCAATCATATTATTAAATTCAACCTGTCGTGCAGTGAAAGATAAATGTCAAGTGGTAACATAAAAATATACTTTCTCCGTTCTTTTTTACTTGACCCGCTTTGACTTTTTGCACTATTTATCACCCCTTCTTTGACCGTCTTTTGTAAATGATATGTATGGAAAAATATATTCATATGATATCTTTTTTTAATTCGTCTTAATAAATACTATCGTAATATACAAACACTTATAATTTTAATTATGAAGAATTAAAATTATTGATCGCTAAAGTTTTACATTGATTAACGTGATAAAAGAGACAGGTCAAGTAAAAGAGGGAGTAGAAAACACTTCGATTACAGAAATTTTAAACCTTAAAAGTTGAAACAATACATCATAGTAGTCTAGTAGACTAAAACTACCAACAAAAAAGGAAAATTACAATTTTCTTTTCAATTAAATTTCACAAATAAAAGTTAAATCACTTATTAAAATCAGATAATTACAATTACAAGGCAATAATTATCATCCTTAACACAAAATTAAATAATCAAATGTTCAAGTAGAAGCAGCAGAGAGAACAGTAGCATCATCATCAAAATTCCAAAGCTCCAAAGTAGCATTTCCCTCTTGACAACCACCCAACGACGGCTGAACAGTCGCAGATTGACCATCCAAATATGGAATTTCATAAAATTTCATGTAATTTTCATAAGCCATTAACTCTTCAGACAACTTTTGCACTTCATTCTCCTCCTCCTCTCCCACCACCGCAATCTCCGCTTTCGGCACCGGCACAACTTCATCCGAATCAAGCGTTGTCGTATTTGATACCAAATTTGAAGCATTGTAAGCAGATTCTAAACCATACCCAGTTGATCTCTCTATACTTGATTCCAACCCATCTGACGAAAACTGCTGGTTTCCGTTCAAGTAATCGAACGACATGTAATCGATTGTTTGGCTTTCAGAAACACAGTTGTTAAACTGTTGTTGTTGCTGAGTTTGAAAAGAGCGAGGATTGTAGTTGTAATCGTAGTTGTTTAGCGGAACGTTGTTAGTAAGATGTTGTTCATCTTCATTAGGGAAATTAACCTTAGCTTTTTTACCACGGATTTTTCGAGCTTCTTTATCGTAAGCACGAGCAGCTTCTTCAGGAGTGTTGAAAGTACCAAGCCAAACACGAACGCCTTTTCTAGGGTCGCGAATTTCCGCTGCCCATTTACCCCATGGTCGTTGTCGAATTCCCCTGTATTGGGTCTTCCTCTGTTTTTTCGGCCGCTTTTCTTGTTGCACACTGCCACCTGTCCAACAAAATTAATTACAACCGATCAATACGTGATTTAAATACATTAATAACACCAATCAACGCTTGTTTTTTTATGATATTAAAAAAGGATAGAAGGACGAGTACCTGAAGAGGAGGAAAGTGGCCTTTTAGGAGGACGATAGGAAACTTGTTTGGTGAAGTTGTCTGATGAAGTTGAGATGAAATTACTAGGCCAGAAATCTGAACCAGAATTAAATCTGCCCTTATTTCGTGGGATTAAATCAGCTAATATTGCACCTCCACACATTTTCAACAAAAATAAAAGGGATTAATGTAAAAGATTAATGTTTTGACTTTTGAGAGCTAAGAAATACGAGTAATTTGTTTTTGTATGAGGTAATAATTTTGTTGGTTTTTTTTGAATAAAAATGTTATGAAATGAAATGTAAATATGAGGGGAAGTAAGAGGAAAAGAATGGTATTTATAATGGCGGTGAAAAGATAAAATAATAAGTGAGTTGGAGACAGCTGAACAAAGGAGGTTTCGAAGTATGATACTTCACCCTTTTTCCATTTCTTTAGTACGACTGTACGAGTACTATGATGTATGACTAGCAACTTTCAATTGGTCTTTTGCGGCGGCCAATTTATCTTTTGGTATCACCGTGTTACCTCGAAACGTTTCATGGTACGGAGTTTATTAGATATGTGCTTTGGAATCAAAGCAATCTGATCTAAATTAACAAATACCTAAAATTGAATTAAATTAGGGTTTTCTTCATTAAAGCTACGATCGTTGAAAAGATGTTGCATTGTGGTATATCTCTCACATACTATCGTTAGAATATACAATCTTTACGGTCTAATATTTTGTTGTAGCCGTAAGGATGATTCACATCTGATTCGCCTGAGCGTATTTGAAAATTTGACAATTGTTACAATCCTAAACAAATCTTTACTAAAGAACTGATAATAGGGAAAAAGATGATTACTTTTTTTTTTTATGAACCCTAACACACAAACAAATCCTAAACATAAACAAACAACTAAGGGTTCGTTTGACATTGTTGTGGTTTTCTGTTTTTTGTTTTCTAAAAGTATATGATATGTGTCCCATAATGAATAAAAAATTATATAAAGTTATTAAAATTATGATAATTTTGAAAACTGACAACAGAAAAAGTGAAAACACCTTTTTCTTGTTTCCTTTTTTGGTTTTCAAAAAAAGGAAATTGAAAACCAAAACTGATGCCAAACAAGCCCTAAACTAACAAAAACCAACGACTCCACCATAGGGAGACGGACGAATATTTACACTACTTGTGTAGATTTATTGAAACCTAAGCAAAACTAAATAAAATTAAGGGGAAAGAAATTAGACTATTTCCGACCTAAAGTCTTAAACGACCAAAATTTTGGAGAAATCATAGAAGAGATGGGGAGATAAGAGGACAGGAGAGGCGAGAGATAACTTTGGAATCAAATTAATTACATGATCTTAGTTGATCGATTTTGTAGTTCAAATTCACTCATTTTTTGATCGTATGTTTATTTAAAGTTCATGTTTATTTGTTTTAACTTTTTATGAATTTTGAATTTGGACTTAAATTATATTCATTAGATGCATAATGTGCATTGTGTACCCGAATACACAAACCAATAATTAAAATTGCATAGTAGATAATTTTGTTATGACTATATAGTTTAATAATTGAAATAAAAGTGGACACTAAACAAATGGAAATATGAATTCAAGCCCAATAATGGCATACTTGGTAATGATGGAAAAGTGGCCGACCTACTCAATGGCGGACCCAGCCTTGGTCCTGCTGGGTCACTTAACCTAGCAAAAAAAAAAATCTTTTTTTTTTAAAAAAGAAAATGGCACAAAAATAAGGTATAAAGATTATTTTTGGTTATAACTTAACAATACAAACTTGTAGCATAGCGATGGGAAGGATTGTGGCAAAGCCTAATAAGCAGGGGCATAGCCACTAAGCCACACAGGTCTTGAGTTCGAGCATTTAATTCATTGTAGCAGCATTATGTTTTGTGTTGTTAAGACATTACATTAAGTGGTTTTTCTAAGCTAATTTGTGTTGTAAATATTATGTTTGTATAATTTTTTTTTTTTTTTTTTTTTTGTAAAAAAAATATTAACTTGGGTATTGAATAGGCAAGTTGCAAAAAGATTAAATTAATCTATTTTTGACAATATTGGATTTTGTAATTAAATTGAAATTGTGACTTAATTTTCATAAAAAAAACATATGATATAATAAATTTCTTTAGTCCCAATATGCATCATTCTCCTCCACAAAATCATCCTCTATCACAAAATTCATCCATCTCCGGTATGCGGTCGATGGATGATGATCGATAGGTGACAGTGACCCAGCACCTTTAAAATCCTAAATCCGCCACTGAACCTACTAGCTTGCAGCCATGGGCGCATGGCTATATACATAGGAGACTACGAGTAGAAGAATTTATTTGTAGAGAAAGCTCATGAATAACAGCGCCTTGTAGAAAGGAGAATTCTAGAACGATGAAGGCCTAGTAAAATATCCGGATTGGAACTTGGAACGAAGTAGTTGTAGTGTTAACTTATTAGCTTGTACACTTGTAAACCATAGAATAGGTAAAGTGGTTTGTTTGATTTCCATTATATAAAGTTTAGAAAGCATATTTAGCATTGGTTCATTGGTAAATTAAGCACTTTTCCTACTTCCAAAACTCTTCATTTCATTAAGTATGATAGTTAATTGAAAATCATAGTAACAACTAACAAGTGATAGTAAGAAAGGATAGTATAATAATTTGATGTTGGAGGCATGTGCATTTGATTGAATATCAAACATAAAACCAAAACAAAATAACATAAACTCCAACAATAATAATAAAAAAAATAATAATAAAATATCCAATAATGAACAAAATTTTATCAAAATTGTTGTAGAAAAATAATGAATTTTTTTTTTTTTTGAGGAACGAGCACCGAGTAATTTATTAATCGAGGGTCAAAGTGTCCGAGAGTACATAGGGAGAAACCTCCATAGGACAATGATTGATCCAAGCTTGTTCAACCCCAAACGGTACTACTTTTGCCAGATGGTGAGCGACATTATTCCCACCTCTCTTAACATGAGACCACCACTTACAGCTACTAAAATTACAACTTATCCATAAAACAAGACACTATCAAAATCAGAGAAGAAAACCACTGTTTTTGAGAGGCGATTAATTAATACTTGGCAATCCGACTCCAAGATAACATCGTCCTTATAGCCATAATGTATCGCCAACCTGATTGCCATCGCAAGAGCTTTGCCTTCAGCAATTTCCAGAGGTCACGTAGCTCTGATTCTCCTTGTTTCTGCGAAAAAAACATCTCCTCTGTGATTTCGAGCTACGGTCCCCAAGCCCACCCAACCTTCAAACCCTAGACTTGCATCAATATTAATTTTAATGCAGCATTCTGGTGGAGTAGTCCACTTGGACGAGTTGTGTTTCTCCTTCTATACAGGGGTTGCGTAGATACATTTGCTATATTTGCCAAACTCCTCCACTAATCTCTCCATTCTGGTGAGAAGCAGAGCGTTAGTTTGGTGTGCATTTGTTGTCAAAACACTACAAGAAAATAACTTTTTCGTAGCGATTATTTTAACCTTTAGTATCGATTGTAATTGCAACAAAAAGCTTTCCAAACGAATGGTCATTCGATACGATATCCCCCGTTGCCTTAGCCTTTAGTAGTGGTTTTCATCCCCCGTTGGCTTAGCCTTTAGTAGTGGTTTTCAGTATCGCTGGGGTTGGCCTCAATAATCGATACGAAAAACTTACATATGATCTTTACAAGATTCGAACACGTAACCTCAAACTCTTATATTAAATGTTTCACCAAAAAACTATGACATATTTTATGTATTATTTGTCAAATAATATTTATATATCTAGTGTAGAAAAGGCTTTTTGTATTGATTTTTGGGATTTACTAGCGATTGTAAATGATACGATTTCTCATAATTTTATAAATGTGCAAAAATAGTGTGGATATGTATTATTATGTTTTCCATTATAAAATGATACGATTTCCTTAATTATTTCACAAACATACTTGTATATTGTAGCGAATGTACAATCGCTAAGAAAAGACAATTTTCTTGTAGTGAAAACCCAGGAGTTTCAATCAAAAAAATCTTAATATAAATGGTATTATTTGGATAAATGGTTACATAAGTTATTAGTAGTAAAAATTAATCAGTGACATTAAAAATTATGAGTAAATTTGATTAGTAGAAAGTGGTAGTTATCAAAAACCCTCTCTTTCACAAGATTAGAAATTCTCAAGAATCTTAGGGTAGGAGCTTGGATGCATATAAATATGTGCGTCATCCTATTCTCTTGTACAAATTATTTATTTGTAATTTTTACCCACAAAATTTGCGTGAACCTGTTCCACAATAATGTTATTGTGGATCTAGGATTTATACACACGTAACTGACATTATATTCAACATGTATGGCCCCTAATTTTAATATATTAACCTTATTTTTAACATATTAACCTTTTTTAAAACTTGTGTGACCTTTAATGTTATTATGAACTTAAACAACATTATATTAAATAGTGACCTAATTTTAACATAGTGGTCTTTATTATGCATACTCACCATTATATTAAAATTTTCATTAAAAAAATTAACCTCTTATAACTTTAACCTTTATTTTAATTTAGTAACCTTTTTATTAATAAAACAATTATATTGTATCTAATGTTGATGACCCACAACAAATTAGTGTGAACCAGGTCTATTTAAGAATTTGTAATTCTCACCTCAAGAAATCGATTACACATTGAAAATCTCTTTACTTAGCCGATTTTGTAGCACGCTTAGGGCCTGTTCTTATTGACTGAAATGAGCTGAAGTGAACTGAATTGATTAGAGCTGAACTGAACTAAACTTATTAGAGTTGAACTGAACTGAATTGAACTAAACTAATTAGAGCTGAACTGAACTGAATTGAAATGAATATTTTATAAGAGAAGGAAATTAAGAGCTGAAATGAACTGAACTGAACTGAACTTATTAGAGCTGAACTGAACTGAACTTATTAGAGCTAAACTGAATTGAAAATAATCGTATCAGAACAGGCCCTTAGCCTAGTGTAGGGAATAATTTCAACCCTTTAAATTTCACTAGCTTGAACCCCACTGTGATCATACACTAAAGTACGATGGCGTCCAAAAGGGAAGAAGATAGAGCAAAAGAGTCGCCAACAAGTTTTTTAGGAACTTGTAAACCGTTCACGAGGTGAAGGTTACACCCCTTAACGATCCAAGAGATCGTCAACTCCATAAGGTCATGAACCAAATAAGGGTTCGAGGATGAAGGTACAAATCCAACCTAAAAGAGATTGAACTTGCCCTAATAATAGGCCTCTACTTTATTCTGATCGTATTCATGTGC